CTCATCCACAAGCTCTGCTCTGGCTGGCCCCATGCATTCAGCATTCCTCCTACATGTACTTACTGAACACCTACTGTGTACCAGACACTGTTCCAGACACTGGGAGTATAGTGCTGAACACAACAGACAAAAATCCCTGCCTTCACAGACCTTTCCTTCGCATATATCACTCATTTAATCCTCGAGACAGCCTCCATGAGGTAGCCTCATTATACAAATAAGGAAAATAAGAGACACAGAGAACTTAAGAGACTTGTCCAAGGTTACCCAGCGGGTAAGGGAATGTCTGGATTAGAACCTGGGCAGCCTGGCTTAAGAATTCGAATTGTCAGCTGCTATTACTTGCCCATCAGTGGCAGAAGGACCCAGAGGTAAAGACTTGGCAACAGAGGCAGGGTGGCATGGACAGGGGACAGACAGGCCTGACCAGTGGTCATAGAGCCAGGATCAGGCCTTCTGTGGGCTCCACAGGGTATGCTGCCAGGGCCGCCCGGCTGGCCTCTGGGCTGAGTTTCCTTGAGGTTGTCTGGATTCCAGGCCCTCTGGCCTTCCCAGCTCAGCAACTTCGGCCTGGGAGAGGCCGCTTTTCCTTAGCAGACAGCTGATGATCATTGCTGGGCTTGGTGGGAGGTAAAGAGGTAACCAGCAGGTTTTCTCTCTGTGATAGTTAGAGGCCGCCTTGAAAGCAGACAGCTGAGAAAACACAGACCTGGGCTGGCCGGCCCCACCCTCGGTCGAGCAGCTTCTGCCTGTGAAGTGTAAATGCAGGTGGTGTCAAGTTGGCAGACAGGCCCAGCTCCCTCTTCCCCTTGAGCAGGCAGGGCCGAGGCCCCCTGCAGCAGGCCCGTGACTTAGTTGCTCTGGCTGATGAAGAGCTTGGGCCTGGGAGGAGTGTCGCACAGCCCCAGCCTGGTCTGTCCTCAGCCCTGGATTGACGTCCATGCTGTCCTGGAACCGTCTCAGCGGCCTAGTGGGGAGCCTGCTTTCTCCTCCATCCTGTGTCTTGGGCTCAGGCATGTGCCCGCTGCCCCTTTGTGGCCACAAGTATGTATCAAGCCCATGGTGGCGCTCGGGACCCTCCCCTGGTGGGCTTAGAGACACGGACGACCCTTGCTGGCTGGGAGCTGCGGTGAGTGTGTGAAGGGCCCTCGGTCTCCCCTGAGGAAGGCCCTGCCTTCTGGCTCTGCCTGCTCTTGGCTTTCACTGCTCCCAGGCCGTCTCCCATCCGCTTTCCCCAGGTGCCTCCACTTCTCTCTGACTTCTTGCCTGTTTTTCCTAATTCTGAGAGATTGCCTGCCTTCAAGTGCAGGAGAAAGCGGACATCTTCCCCACAAGCCCGAGACCTACACCCAGTAGAGCTGGCCAACCACCTGCCACGGAGCAGGTCACTGGTGCCTGGGCCAGAGTGCTCGTGGTGCCAGTCTGCTGCGTCTCAGCCACATTCCCCCTGCTCTGCTGCCCGCAACAAGCCAGAGATGACCTAGTGTCTGACATCTCTGAGTAAAGGGGCCTTTTACAGCCCCTTCCTCAACTCCCTCACCATCCCCCATGCTCCCCGAGCCTGACCTCCCCACATTGCAGCCACCTCCTTCTGGGCACCCCTCTGAGATTCCAGACAGAACCCAGGAGCCCCCAGGTTCCCATTGTGATGCAAGGACACAACAGAACCCTGGGCCCCAGGCAGGTGGCCAGTGGGTATCCCGCCTCCCACCCCCAGCAAACACTGGCAAACCCCACTCTCCTTGCATTGGGGTCTGAGTGCCTGGCAGTGGCGACAGTGGAGACGATCAAGGTCAGCACGCCCAGCCCCATGCTGAGGCAGCAGCCTGTCTAGGGGAGGGAGGTGGGGTGGAAGGAGACTCCATCCTTTTGAAAAGGGAGTCGATTCACTTATGTCAGGGTAGGAAGAGTAGGAATACATATTCTTTGAGACTGAAAAATTACTGGCTGGGCGCAGTGGCTCACAACGGTAATCCCAGCACTTTGGGAGGCTGAGGCGGGAAAATTGTTTGAGGCCAGGAATTCAAGGCCAGCTTGGGCAAAATGGCAAGATCCTGTCTATATATTAAAAAAAAAAAAAAAAAAAAAAAAAATTAGCTGGGCGTGGTGGTATGTGCCTGTAGTCCCAGCTACTCGGGAGGTTGAGGTGGGAGGATGGCTTGAGTCCAGGAGGTCTAGGCTACACGGAGCCTAGATCGCAGCACTGCACTCCAGCCTGGGTAACAGAGTGAGACCCTGTCTCAAAAAGAAAAAAAAAATTACTGAAAAGCATAAAGATTTTGTCAACTATAATTCCACAACCCAGAGACCCCCACTTTTTAGTACTGTATATTCAATGGTTTTTCAGATGTTTCTTGGACTTAATATGTTGATGAGCCTTTCCCCATGATATTTAAAACTCTTGATAAACATGGATGTAATGACAGAATAGTCCATGTAATGTATATACACATTGTAATTCACCTGCCCACTCCTCTAAGCGTGGGTATTCAGGGTATTCTCAATTTTAGGACTAAATTAGCAGAAAGGCTGCCTCATGCAAACTGTCCCTACTCCCACACGGGGCCAGAGGACTTGAGCCGTCCTCTCATCGGGCACTGAGTGGGCAGAGAAGTGGTGCAAGCTCTGCCTCCCTGCCTGGCCTGTGGCCCAGTGTGTTGCTAGGAAGAAATGTGCTTGTCCAGGTGGCAGCAGAGCTGACCTCCTGGGGCCTGGCCCTTGGGTCACCTGCTTGTCCCCCAGGAGGCCTGACTGGGCCCCCAGCCTTTCACCTGGGTCTTGCATCTTGGAATCCCCCTGCCCCACCGTGAGTAGGCAAAGCCAGCTCCCTGGCCTCTTCCTCAGAGGTGGGGGTGGATCCCTTGGTCCACCCCTGACCACTCAGAGCTGGCCTAACTGCTGTGAGTCAGTGCTCTCTCCAGCCCTGGGAGACAGGGACCTCCGAGGCCGAACACTACCTTGTTTGATGACAGAGACTAGCTTGATGACATCTCAACCATGTAAAGTAGGGAGATTTTATACACACCCCACAAAATCCAGATGTCTGGCCTGTCTTAACTATGGCTAATGCATGGTGCTGGCTGTGCTAAGGGGGCAGACTCTAAACCTCTTTTTTTTTTTTTTTGAGACAGCCTCGCTCTGTCACCCTGGGGTGCAGTGGTGCTATCATAGCTTACTGCAGCTTCAGACTCCTGGGCTCAGGTGATCCTAACCCTCCGGATTACAGCTTGGATTATAAGCGTGCACTGGCACACTCGGCTGAGTTTTGAAACTTTTTGTAGAGATGGGGTCTTGCTATGTTGCTCAGGCTGGCCTAGGCCTTTCTTGAAAGAGAATTTTCACGATGCTGGGTGTATGTTTTCACCTCCCGTGGTCTGAGGGGAGCAAATGGTGGCCGCCTTCTTAGGGGGTTCTTGGGAGTCCAGCCCTGCACAGCCCCTCACCCGCCTTACCTGGCTTTCCCCTGTAGTGAGTGGACGTTGTTGCCTGTCATTTAGTAATGAGAACCCAGCTGTGTAAACCTCCTAAACTACCACATAGGAATCTGGCTCTTAACATACCTTTCCCGAGGTGAGGGGTGCTCACTACAGGACGTTCTGCAAGAAAAGTCCTAAACATGCCCTGACGGAAGCTGGAGCCAAAGTCTGTGTCTGCGAATTGTTTCCTGAGGAGAGGTTTCTGGGGGTGGGCTGATGTGAGACCAGAGTCTGGGCCTTGGGAGGGGATGGCTGGCTGGAGGACAGCTCCGGGGAAGGGTTGCTTCCCTGGGATCTGCCCTCATGGGATTGGCACCATGATGGTGTCCCCTCTTCTGGGGTCGGGATAAGCCAGGTAACCATGGCTTCCTCATGGGGTGCACACCCTCTTCCCCTTCTAATAGTCTTGGCCGCCACAGCTCTCCTGCAAGGCAGATTGGGAGCAGGGGTGGACACAGGTTCTAAGTGTGCTCTGGCTACTGGAAGACCCATCTCCACAGGTCGACTTGCCAGAGACCACCCCAAGTGGAAAATTCTGGGGGCTGGGCCAGGGTGAATCCAGGGCTCGGAGGACCTGGAGTATGTATAATCTGGGGGCCCCTTTAAAGAGAGAGAACATGACATTACATAGACACAGGCAGGTACAGGGAAGAGAAAGAACATAATATTACATAGACACAGGCAGGGACAGGAAAGAGAGAGAACATGACATTACATAGACACAGGCAGGTAGAGGAAAGAGAGAGAACATGACATTACATAGACAATATGCAGGGTAGAGGAAAGAGAATACAGACATTACATAGACACAGCAGGGACAGGAAAGAGAGAAATATGAGCATTACATAGACACAGGCAGGTAGAGGAGAGAGAGAAAGAACATGACATTACTATGACACAGGCAGTAGGGACAGGAAAGAGAGAACATGACATTACATAGACAGCAGGTAGGAGAAAGAGAGAGAGAACATACATTACTACATATACACAGCAGGTAGGGGAAAGAGAGAAATATTATTGCATAGATACAGGCAGGTAGAGGAGAGAGAGAGAACATGACATTACATAGACACAGGCAGGTAGAGGAAAGAGAGAGAATACAGACATTACATAGACACAGGCAGGGACAGGAAAGAGAGAACATGACATTACATAGACACAGGCAGGGACAGGGCTTTGGAAGGGGCTCGTGGAGTGAGGGGTCCCGAGGGTGGGCTGCCGTTGGGTGGTCCCAGGTGGCGTTGGGGTGGCTTTGGTTGCACTTGCTCTCTGGGCTTTCCTGAAGAGCTGGGGCTGGCTCTGTCCTGTGGAGGGAGAGGGCGCGGGAGGCTGTCAGTACCAGCCCAGGTTTCGCTCACCTGAAGTCCCAGGTGTGACGGGATGCTTGAACATGGGGGAACCTAAGGCCACAGCCTTAGAAGAAGCCACGGCCACATCAGTCATCCCTGGTGCTGGGCAGGAGGCCTGGGTGTGGGCTGGAGCTGAGGACTGAGTCTCACCTGGCTCCTGACTCTGTGCCCATAGGTGGAACACCTGAAGGAGAAGCTCATTAGCCAGGCCCAGGAAGTGAGCCGACTGCGATCTGAGCTGGTGAGGCCACAAGGCTGTCCTGGGGCAGCACAGGGGGCTGGCCTGGCCCTGTGTAGATGGGCCCTGCCAGGGCAGGGGTGCAACCCTCTCTCTGCTGAGCCCACACATCCATCCCACCCTATCTCAGAAACACACCGAGAGCCTTGTCCCCATGTCCTGGTGCCCTCAGAGGCCTTGTGGCTCCAAGGGGTGGGAGATTCCTTCCCGGTTGCTGACATTAAACAGGAGTGTGAACCCTGGTAGAAATATGTCTCTCCTTGTGACTTTCACACTCAGAATAGGGGCAGCAGGGAGAGCAGGCCCTGGGTTGCCACCCTTCTCGACTCTGCCCTCCACTGTCTTTCTCTTGGTTTCTCTCTTGAGCTCGTTCCCTCCTCTCTTGCGCTTGCCTTTTTCTTTTTCTCCTTCCCTCTGCCTTTCTCCTCACCTCCCCTCTCTCCCCTGCCCTTGTGCCATCTCTGCTGGCCCCTCTTCCTTCCCCTGCCATCTGCCCTCGCCACATGCGCCCCCTCGGCCCTGGCTCTCTGCAGGGGGGCACCGACTTGGAGAAGCACCGGGACCTGCTGATGGTGGAGAATGAGCGACTGAGACAGGAGATGCGGCGCTGCGAGGCCGAGCTGCAAGAGCTACGTGCAAAGCCAGCAGGTCCCTGCCCAGGTTGTGAGCACAGCCAGGTGAGCAGAATGGCCGCAGCCCCCATGCTGGTCCTGGAGGGCCACCCTGGCTCCTCAGAGTGAGCCTGTCCCTTGCACTCATCTAGTGCCTCCCACTGGCTGCAGGAGAGTGCCCAGCTCCGTGACAAGCTGTCCCAGCTGCAGCTGGAGATGGCGGAGAGCAAAGGCATGCTGTCAGAGCTGAACCTGGAGGTGCAGCAGAAGACTGACCGGCTGGCTGAGGTGGAGCTGCGGCTCAAGGACTGCCTGGCTGAGAAGGCACAGGAGGAGGAGCGACTCAGCCGGCGCCTGCGTGACAGCCACGAGACCATTGCCAGCCTGCGGGCCCAGTCCCCACCTGTCAAGGTGAGCCCTGGCCCACCTGATCTGTGCCTCAGCCCAAGGCCCCTGGTGCCTGGGGCAGGGCCAGCCCATAAGAGGAGCTTGACCTGGTCAATAGGTAGGTGCCCGTGGGTGGAGGAGTCATTCCAATTCTGTGCTTGATCCTGCCCCTTTCCCTTCCTGTATCCAGAGCCAGGCACCGAGTAGGTATCCAACAACTGAGGTGCCAGGCACAGATGCAGCGCAGCCTCTGGATTCTGCCCCCATCTTTGCCTTTCTTGTTTGTACCCAGGATGGGGCCCCAGGCAGGCTCATAGTAGCCTCTTGTTAAGAAGAGAAGGTTCCAGGCCGGGCGCGGTGGCTCAAGCCTGTAATCCCAGCACTTTGGGAGGCCAAGACGGGCGGATCACTAGGTCAGGAGATCGAGACCATCCTGGCCAACACGGTGAAACCCCGTCTCTACTAAAAAATACAAAAAATTAGCCAGGCGAGGTGGCGGGCGCCTGTAGTCCCAGCTACTGAGGAGGCTGAGGCAGGAGAATGGCATAAACCCGGGAGGTGGAGCTTGCAGTGAGCTGAGATCCGGCCACTGCACTCCAGCCTGGGTGACAGAGCGAGACTCCGTCTCAAAAAAAAAAAAAGAAGAGAAGGTTCCAGGAGACCCCCCCAGCTTTCTGGAAAGCCAGGACCTCAAGGCTCCTCTAGTTTTTTCCGGGTTTCTGAGTAGGATGTTCCTGAGAGTTCCTTCCCCTGGCCGGCTGCGTCTCAGGGTCTGGGGTGAGGTCTGGTGCCTGCTGGCTCCACACGCCATTCTTCCCTCACCCCGCAGTATGTCATCAAGACAGTGGAGGTGGAGTCGTCTAAGACCAAGCAGGCCCTCAGTGAGTCCCAGGCCCGGAACCAGCACCTGCAGGAGCAGGTAGCTATGCAGAGGCAGGTGCTGAAGGAGATGGAACAGCAGCTGCAGAGCTCACACCAGCTGACCGCGCGGCTCCGGGCGCAGGTACACAGGCTGTGTGGGGGCACACGCCCAGCCAGGAAGCCAGAGGCAGGCCCTTGGGCCAATGCACCAGTTAAGCATTCGGACACCCCACAGACATGGGGTCCAGTCCCTCCTCTCCCCGATGGCCATGGGACCCAGGGCAAGTTTTGTCCGGTGTCCATTTCCTCATCTATTTTAACACGATCTGGTCCCAGAACCCACCTCACAGTGGGGACTCAGGAACGTGATCCCAAGAAGCTTTTTGCCCAGGGCCCAGCACACAGGCTTGCTCAGTAAGCTCTACAGTGGTACTCATCACTGTCATCACAGAGGCCCTCTCCTACCTTTCTGAGGGCACGCGACTTGGGCACCTGATGTGTGCTCAGTACTGGGTTGGTGTTGGGGCCAATGTACAGAGCTCACAGCCCTTTACGGGGAGAGAGACAAGGCCATTCTACCCCTCTGTGTGTGCACACATGTGTGTGCATGTGTGTTCATGTGCATGGGAGGTGACCAGTGGGGCTTCTTTCTCGGTATGGCACCTGCCCCTCTCCCTCCCACACCTCGAGGTACTGAGCCTTTTCCTGATCTGGCTGCCAGATTGCCATGTACGAGTCAGAGCTGGAGCGGGCCCATGGGCAGATGCTGGAGGAGATGCAGTCCCTGGAAGAGGACAAGAACCGGGCCATTGAGGAGGCCTTTGCCAGAGCCCAGGTGGAGATGAAGGCTGTGCACGAGAATCTAGCAGGTGAGCTGACTGGGGCCCTGTCTGCCCCACACCGCGGCCTCTCATCCCCTCCCGCCTCACAGCCCAAGTGTCCCCATAGGCGTCCGGACCAACCTGCTGACCCTGCAGCCAGCACTGCGGACCCTCACCAACGACTACAACGGGCTCAAGCGGCAGGTGCGCGGCTTCCCGCTGCTGCTGCAGGAGGCCCTCAGGAGTGTCAAGGCCGAGGTGAGCGAGGGCAGTGGGTGGGAGGGTCCAGGGTGAGGGAGCGCACTGGGAGAGGCACGACATCCACCCAGGGCTTCCCTCCAAAGCTCAGACAAAGCCCCTCAGACAGCAGCCCCTGCTCCACCCACCATGACACTTACTGCTGCCCTTATAGGCCCTGTTTGAAACTAGACTGCTTAGGGCAGGCATTCGGCTATTTGTCTTACTATGATTCTTTAAACCAAACATGTTACAGATAACTTCATATTTCAAACATGCAGGCCAGGCGCGTTGGCTCACACCTGTAATTCCAACACTTTGGGAGGACAAGGCGGGCAGATCACAAGGTCAGGAGTTTGAGACCAGTCTGGCCAACATGGCGAAACTCCATCTCTACTAAAATCACAAAAATTAGCTGGGCATGGTGGCAGGTGCCTGTTAATTCCAGTTACTCAGGAGGCTGAGGCAGGAGAATCACTTGAACCCGGGAGGTGGAGGTTGCAGTGAACCAAGATCGTGCCACTGCACTCCAGCCTGGGTGACAGCGAGACTCTATCTCAAAAACAAAAAACATGCTACATACATATTTTTTTAAAAATTATTTATTAGAGACAGGGTTCATTATGTTGCCCAGGCTGGTCTTGAACTCCTGGCTTCAAGCAGTCCTCCTGCCTTGGCCTCCCACAGTGCTGAGATTATTGGTGTGAGCCACCATGACTGGCCGATACAGTCTTATCTCTGTTAGGTTTAACTTAATTCTTTCAAGCTGTACTTGTACATATGAGAATAGCCAGCGCCTCTTAAGTGCCTCCTACATGTCGAGCTGTTTATAGCCGTTAGCTCCTTGAATTTGTATGATAGCTTTGCAAAGACTAATATATTTTGGGAACAGAATATAGTTCTTCTCCTTTAAAAGAGTATGTCAGTAATACGTGGACATGGTGAAAAGTCAGACTCCATAGCGGGGCATCAGGTGAATAGGAAAGGCCTCTCTGCCACCCACCCAACTCCCCCAGTGTGGCCTCTCAGCGTTTCCCCCTGACCATTCTGAGCATGCTTAAGCCAATTGATGTGTGTGTGTGTGAATATATGGTAGGCCCTTCCCCCACTCACAGGTTCTGCGCTTCCAGATTCAAACAACCACAGATCAAAAATATTTGAAAAAGATTTAAAAAGTACAACATTTAAAAATAAGAGAAATAAAAATAACATATGACAACTATTTACACAGCATTTTTTTTTTTTTTTTTTGAGACAGTGTTTCGCTCTTGTTGCCCAGGCTGGAGTGCAATGGCGGGATCTCAGCTTACTGCAACCTCCACCTCCCGGGTTCAAGTGACTCTCCTGCCTCAGCCTCCTCAGTAGCTGGGATTACAGGCACATGCCACCATGCCCAGCTAGGGTTTTTGTTGTTGTTGTTGTTGATTTGTATTTTTAATAGAGGCGGGACTTCACCATGTTGGCCAGGCTGGTTTTGAACTCCTGACCTCAGGTGATCTGCTCACCTTGACCTCCCAAAGTGCTGGGATTACAGGCATGAGCCACCGCGCCCAGCCCCTACCTGGCATTTTCATTGTATTAGGTATTGTAAGTAACCTGGAGATGATTTAAAGGACATGGGCGGGGCTGGGCACAGTGGCTCATGCCTGTAATCATACCACTTCGGGAGGCTGAGGCAGGAGGACCACTTGAGCCCAGGAGTTCAAGACAAGTCTGGGCAACATAGTGGGACCCCATCTCTATAAAAATAAAAAAACTAGCTGAGTGCGGTGTCCTGCACCTGTAGTCCCAGCTACTCCGGAGGCTGAGGTGGGAGGATCGCTTGGGCCTGGAAGGTCGAGGCTACAGTGAGCCAAGATAACACCATTCATGATGAGTTTCCACCACGTCCACGGAGCTGTGATTGCACTCCAGCCTGGGCAACAGAGCAAGACCCTGTCTCAAAAAAGTAAAGTATATGGGAGGATGTGTGTAGGTTACAGGCAAACACTATATCATTTTATATCTGGGGCTTGAGCATCTGTGGAGTTTTATATCCTCCATGGTTACCAAGGGACGACTGTATACACTGTATACACTTTCCTTCTACCCCAGAAAGGGGACGTGTGATTCCGTATACGGCGGGATACTGTATGTGTGATTTTGCATCTTCTTTCCCCCTGTGAAATGTAACTGGGAGATCTTTATAGATTCATGAGTTAGATGGTATTATCCCTGTTTTCCAGATGCGAAAATTGAGGCTTAAAGACATTGAGTCAGCAGTCTCAGGTCCCCAGCTACTCAGGGGCAGAGCTGGAATTTGAGTCTGGTTGAATCACATAGTCAAGCACTCGTGCTATCGTGTGGAGGCTGAGTCCTGGCTCTATGCTTATTAGCAGAGCAGCCTTGAGCTGTCAGCTTAGCGTCTCTGGGGCTCAGTTTCATCATCTGTAAAATGGGGATGGCAGCAGTACCTACCCAGAGGGGTGATTGCGATAGTCTTGTGTGTCAGGTACTCAGCCAGGGGCAGGAGGCAGTGAGCACCCCTCAGGGGTGGGCAGTTGGGCCAGCAAGGCTGATGGAGCTGACCCCCTGACAGTGGTGTGCACCCCCCACCAGATAGGCCAGGCCATCGAGGAGGTTAACAGCAACAACCAGGAGCTGCTGCGCAAGTACCGCCGTGAGCTGCAGCTGCGCAAGAAGTGCCACAACGAGCTCGTGCGGCTGAAAGGTGACTGCAGGAGGGCTGGGGGTGGACACCAGCCTTGGGGCCTCGACCTGGCTTGGCAGTCATGCTTGGAGCTCACCCCACCATTGAGGCACTATTCTAATCCCATCTCTGTAGATAAGGAAACAGAGGCGCAGAGAAGGCAGGGAGCTTGCTCAAAGCCACATGGATATTAAATGGTCCGCCTTGGATTTGAACTTGAGTCTGTCCAGCTCAGAAGCCCTGGCCCCAGTGCTTGGGCAGGTGACTCCCCAGGCCCTGGATGGCCGAGGGGTGTGGTACTGCAGCACTGGGTTGCTGGCAGCTGGAAAGCCACTTGTTCTGACCTGGGGCCTGGTCAAGCTTGAGACTCCACCATGCACTGCATGGAGCTCTAGAGTGCCTGCTCTGTGCCAGGTGCCGTTCCAGCCCGAGGCTATGGTCATGGCCCCACAGACTGCCTCCCGGTGCTCACTTTAGTATGAGAATGGACAATGGTGATTGTCAGGGAACCTCAACCCTGCCCCCTTCCAGGGCTGAGACAGGCTCTCCTGGGTATGGGACAGGCAAATGTGTTGAGGGGCTTCCCAGAGAAGGCAAAGTTAGAGCTGAGACCTGGATGGTGAGCTGGAACAGATGGGTGAAAAGGGAGGGCAGGTGGGCCATGCTGGAAGTGGGGGTGTTTCCTCTTCATTCCAAGAGCACAGGGATCCCAACGAAAGCTGGAAGTAGACGGTGGCATGACCAGCTCATGCTGCCAGATACCCTTGTGGCTGCCCCACTATCTGGGCCCTCAGATACACCGTCAGTCATCACCTGCTGCCGGGCCTATATGCCCATCTGATTCGTAAGCCCTGTCCTGCCATTCAGGAGAAGGCTCTTTGCTCACTGGGGCCCAAGCCCCTCATTGTCTAGATGAAGAAACTGAAGTCCAGGGAGGAAAAGAGAGTATCCGTTCTGGCGTCTCATCCTGACTGGGTGCAGTGCCTGAGCCCCACAACTGACCTTTCCTCCCCATCCCCAGGGCAGAGCTCCAACCCAGTCAGCTGGTCTGTTCAAGAAGAAATGTACTAAGTGAATTCATACTATAGTGTGAATGATGGATAACAGCTTTGTGGGCCCCCTTCCCCTAGGGGGCTGTGCTTAAAAGTCAGGGGACTCCTAGGCCAACTGGTCTGCCTGGGACACCAGTGGACCAGAGTGGAGACTGGTCTTGACATGGCCTGGGCCCATTTCCCCATCCCCAACCAACCCAGGGAACATCCGAGTGATTGCTCGTGTCCGGCCAGTCACCAAAGAGGATGGGGAAGGACCTGAGGCCACCAATGCTGTGACTTTCGATGCCGACGACGACTCCATCATCCACCTGCTGCACAAGGGAAAGCCTGTGTCCTTCGAGCTGGACAAGGTGTTCTCCCCACAGGCCTCGCAGCAGGACGTGAGTGTGGCCCCATGCGGGAAAGGGAAAGCAATGGAGAGAGGGAAAGACGGACTCACAGGGAGGGAGAGGGGCTGGGCAGGAAGAAGCATAAGAGTAAGGGGTACAGGAATCAGAAGTGGGGAGCCAGGGTCCCGCGCCTTCCTCTGGAGGACAGAAGAGGGTGGGAAGTTAAGACTGAAGGCCTTAGAAGCCTCCTTTGGAAGGAGAGATCCAGAAACAGCCCATCCCCTTCCATGGCTGTGGTTCCTTCCATCCCCAAGGCCCCTTCTACCATGTGGCCCCGCCCACCCTTAAGGCCCATTCCACTATCATAACCCATTCTATTCTCTCAGCTATGGCTCCTCCCACCATGTGGCCCCTCCTATATCCAGTCCCTTCCACCACATGGCCCCACCCACAGCCCCTCCCACCACCATGGCTTTGGGTCGTCTCATCCACGTGGCTCCTTCTACTGCGTGGCCTTGCCCACTCTCAAGGCCCCTCCTTCCATCACAGCCCATCCCACCCTCATGCTGTGGCCCCTCCCATCTGCATGGCTCCACCCACCCTCAGGCCCCTCCCACCCTCCCACCATGTGGCCTCACCCACCTTCAGGTCCCTCCCACTATCACAGCCCCTCCCACTCTCATGGCTGTGACTGCCCACCCACATGGCCCCATCCGTCTTCATGACCCTGCCCATCTTCTCCATCTGGGAGTACCCTCCTGTATCAGTCCCCTGGGCCTTCCTAGGAATCCCCTGACCCCCTGAGGCTGTATGAGAACCATGTGTTCTCAGTGTCCACTCTTCCCTTATCTCTGCCCAGACCAACCTGCCAGCCCTACCAAGGCCTGTGCCCTCCTGTTCTCATGTCTGGTTCTGTCTTTGCCCCCAACCGCTGACAGCTGGCAGGCAGGCCCAGGCCAGAGAGGCCCCAGGCATGTGCTGGCCTCCGCCTTCCTTGTGCTGAGTGCTCTTTGAGAGAGAGCAGGAGGAGCTGGGGGAAGGGCAGCAGGCACCAGCCTGTCTTCCCTGCAGTCTTTGGGCGGCCCAGTTGCCCACTGATGTCTAATGTATATGACTCATGAATCACGAATCATTGTGAGCTGAGTGACTGCAATAACACATGCTGTGGTGTTGCTGAAGGACAGCATGGTTGGGGAGGTGGCTGGACTTGTAGCTGGTGGTCCCAGTGGCCCTGGAAGCCCCCCACCAGCCTCCCTCCCACCATCTTCCCAGGTGTTCCAGGAGGTGCAGGCCCTGATCACCTCTTGCATCGATGGCTTCAATGTCTGCATCTTTGCGTATGGCCAGACGGGTGCCGGCAAGACATACACGATGGAGGTGGGTGCTGCCCCACGGGGTGGGGGTTCACAGTGAAGTATGAAGGGAGTGCGGGCTCCTTCATTGGTCTTGGGGTTTTGTGCAGTGTGTGTTTTGCCTCATTTGGTCCTCACAACCCAGGAGCAGAGGCTGTAGTTATCTGTGTTAGCCCCAAGGCACCAGGCCTTAAGAGGGGGCCCCCTTGCCCAACGGTACCCACAATGGGCCCAGCAGGACTGGGGAAGAGGCAAGGGGGGTCTGTCATCACAGGGATCTTGGCCTGGGGACAGAGTCCAGGGCAGGCTACCCACCTCTCTCAGGACCGGGGCTGCATTTCACCTTGAGTATGCACTGCACGCTCCTGCTTTACGGCTGCCCCGGCCAGGCCTGGGGGATCTGGGATGAGTGGTTGGTCTCAGTCCTCAAGGAGATCCCAGGGCAAGACTGGCATGCGAAGGCTGTGGTGGGGAGCCCAGCTCTTGCTGGTGGCCCCTGGGGCCAGGCCAAGGATTCCTCTCCCTGCCCGTCACCAGTGCCCTCCCAGGTGTGGTGGAGCAGGTGGCTGGCCAGGGAGGGGGGTGTTGAGATGAGGAAGGATCTTGACTGTGGGCAGAGGGCAGTGGAAAGCTAGCCCTGGCTCTTGAGGGGTGCTGTGGGATTCCCTAGGTCAGAAGGAGGCCAGGTGGTATGGCATCTGGGCAGGGGAAAGGGCTGGCCAGGCCTGCTGGGCAGGGAGCCTGTCATGGCGGCCCTCTATTTCCCATCTGGACTCTGCTGTTCCCTCAATTCTGGAACTAGTGAGACTAGTTAGTGGGGGCAGGCCAGGCCAGGTGGGAGGAGGAATGGGGTATGTGCAGCATCCCGTGGGCTCCCTGTTCTGCTTTGGGATTGCTTGGAGTTGAGTTGACCACCAGAAACATCAGCGTTCGTCCTCAGGCGTATCTGCTGATGCCTGAGGCATATCGGGCATTGTGCCAGGTACAGCTTTGACCCAAACAGTCCCTGCCTCCACAGGGGGCCCTCCCCACAGGGCCAACCTGGCTGTGGGGAGGCAACACAGTCCATATAAATCAGCAAGTGTCCTGTCAGGCCAAGGAGAAAAATAAAGCCAGGGATGTGGAACTGACTAGGGGGAGGGACAGGGCATTTGGGGGTGCTGGGCGAAGGAGCAGCCTCCCTGAGGGAGATGACAGAGCCGACCACGGGGAGGTCAGAGGAGCACCCAGGGCAGAGGGAGCTGCAGGGCCAAGGCCAAGAGGCCAGAGCATGCCAGGGGCACCTGAGGCCCGACCAGGAGGCCCCTGTGGCAGGAATAGAGAGAGGGTGAGAGATACTGTCAGAAGAAGGGCGAGGGCCAGGCTCCCAGGGCCTCGAGGGCCCAGGAGTCCCAGGTAGGGACTCCAGGTTTCCTTTTAGAAAGGCCGGCCCACCCCTCCTGCCCCAGGACACTGGTCCACTCCTCCCTGTGCCTCCTCTCCACCACCCACAGAACCCAGGCCTCAGCCTCCCTGAGATTGAGCCCCTTTCTGGGCAGTGCTGGGGTCATTCATTTCCAGCGCCCCTCCCAGATGGCCCCGCAGGGCCAGGCATGCATCTGGCCGTCAGCTGGCCTATGTGGGGTCTGGGCCAGGCCCCTCACGCCAGTGCTGGACAATGAGTCTCAGGGTAGTCCTGGCAGGGTGATACCATTTTAATGGTGGGGAAATAGAGGTGCAGTTGCCTGCAGCTGGTGGAGGGCATTTTGGGGGACAGTGGCAGGTAGGTAGGAGGTTTGGGCAAGGAGGCTTGCCTGTGAGGAGTAGCCAAGGGGCTTGGGGGACAGACCTGGCTCACTGGGGCCTTTCCTTCTGCCCCCAGGGGACCCCCGAGAACCCAGGTATCAACCAGCGGGCCCTGCAGCTGCTCTTCTCCGAGGTGCAGGAGAAGGCGTCTGACTGGGAGTACACCATCACCGTCAGCGCCGCGGAGATCTACAACGAGGTCCTCAGGTGGGAGCCCCAGGGTGTGCAGAGCAGGCCTCAGGGGCAGCTTTGGGGTCCTCCGGGGTGGTGCTGGAATGAGGTCCTCAAGTGGGAGCCCCAGCATGTGGGGAGCAGGCCTCAGGGGCAGTTTTGGGGTCCTCTGGGGTGGTGCTGGAGCAATGGGGGATAGGAAGTGGGGTCTTTCTGAAGGGAGTGCAGGGAACAGATGAGGCCATCAAGGGACCTGGCTGCAAGTCCTGACTCAGCCCATCGGTTTGGGTGGTCCTGTGGGGAGGAGGGGCGCTCTCTCAGCCTGCCCCAGCCCAGACCCAGGCAATCCTTGCCCCTACCTGTGGGCTGCACCAGGTGGCCATGGGTGGGAGTGGGCAGCTGGGGGCCCTGCCCACAGGGCTCATTGCATTGTGGAGTGAGATCTCTGCGTCAGCTGAATGCGGTGGAGGAGCTGGAGGAGGAGAGATGCGCTCAGCTGATGGCTGAAGAAGGCTTCCTGGGTTGGGGGAACATTCCTGGCTGGGGGGCTGGGTGCAGTGCAAACAGCAGCCAGAAATGGGAGGAGGGGGTGACTGTCTCACTTACCCCTCCAGGGACCTGCTAGGGAAAGAGCCTCAGGAAAAACTGGAGATCCGGCTATGCCCAGATGGCAGTGGGCAGCTGTATGTACCAGGGCTGACTGAGTTCCAGGTGCAGAGCGTGGACGACATCAACAAGGTGTGGAGGAGGGAGCCCCTGACCACAGCCACACTGCTCTAGAGGACAGAACTGGGTTTGAATGTAGGCTCTGCTGTGTCCTAAGCACGCACCCTTGGGCAAGTCCCCAAGCCTCTCTGAGCCTCAGTTCCCTCATCTAAACTGCAGAGTGTGGTGCCACTCCTCATGGATGCTTGGGGCCAGGTGACTCTGAGGACCCCATTCTCAACGCTGTGCCTCTGCCCTCCCGCTCCCAATCCCCCAGGTGTTTGAGTTCGGCCACACCAATCGCACGACGGAGTTCACCAACCTCAACGAGCACAGCTCCCGCTCGCACGCGCTGCTCATCGTGACGGTGCGAGGCATGGACTGCAGCACGGGCCTCCGCACCACGGGTGAGAGTGGCGGGCAGCCTGGCCTGAGGATCCCCACAACCACAAGGGGCACGGCAGGCCTGATCTGCTGGGTGCCCTCCCTGCAGGGAAGCTGAACCTGGTGGACTTGGCTGGCTCCGAGCGCGTGGGCAAGTCGGGGGCTGAGGGCAGCCGCCTGCGGGAGGCACAGCACATCAACAAGTCGCTGTCAGCTCTGGGGGACGTCATTGCTGCCCTGCGCTCCCGCCAGGGCCACGTGCCCTTCCGCAACTCCAAGCTCACCTACCTGCTGCAGGATTCACTTAGTGGTGACAGCAAGACCCTCATGGTGGTACAGGTGAGTGCCTTGGGTTAGGGCAGGCCAGTCCCTAGAGTGGAGGGGCTGCGCTAGCAGCGAGACCCAGTCACCCCAGACTGTGCAAAGGGACCCTTGTCTCAGCAGCTCCATAGTCAGCAACAGCCCCCAGCCCCAGACCTGGCCACACACACCCTGCGTGACTCCCAGTCCCTTCTCTCCACCTTTGACCACACTACCTCTGCCACCTTGCCTGCCCTCCCACCCCCTCTCTCAGTCCTCTCCAGGAAGCCTTCTGACATCCCCAGCTGTGAGCTCCCTCTGGTGACCCTGCTGTCCCTCCAGCTGGCCTGGTTGGGCAGTGAGCTCTTGTGTCCCCTAGGTGTCCCCTGTGGAGAAGAACACTAGCGAGACGCTCTATTCCCTCAAGTTTGCTGAGCGGGTGCGCTCTGTGGAGCTGGGGCCTGGGCTACGCAGGGCAGAGCTTGGGTCCTGGTCGAGCCAGGAGCATCTAGAGGTACGGGGACCGTCACAGGCCTGGCTCAGGTGGCCCTGGGTCAGAGACTTTGGGTCATGGCAGGAGCGGGAACTGGCGGGGACGTCCTGAAGCAGTGGGGGCGGGGAAGCTGCCAGAGGTGGGTGGAGCTACAGCTGGAACCCACAGCCAGGAGCCTCTTCAGTACAGGTAATTCTTCTTGGCCTCAGAGGTTCCTGTGGGGTGACCAGCTGGCCGTGGGGGTGGCACACAGTAGGTACTAGTTGTACCTAGCACACAGTGGTAACTAGTTGACTTCTTTACATGTATTATCTCGTTTAATTCTTGCCATAACTGTGAGGCTGGGGCACGAGCATCATGCCCGTTTTGCAGATGAGGAAACTGGGTGTTAGGAGGTTAGGAGGCAGGGCAGGGGAGTAGAGAGCAGCACAGCAGGGTGGGGGGCCAGGGCACCCGTGGCCCACGCCCACCCGCCCTTCCCTGCTGACAGTGGGAGCCGGCTTGTCAGACGCCACAGCCCTCAGCACGGGCCCACTCAGCCCCCAGCTCTGGGACCAGTAGCCGCCCTGGATCCATCCGGAGGAAGCTGCAGCCCTCGGGTGAGCCTGGGGTGGAAGTGTGGGTGGGGGAGTCTCCCCAGGATAATAATCACCAGGCTGCCCTTACCTGGATTGGCTTTCTACTTTCTTTCCTTTTTAAAAAGTTCTTACAACTTCTCCAGAACCTGTTTTACAACCTCCCCTGCCCCCAGGCAGTCGTCAGGGCAGACAGTGCTGTGTTCAGTCTGCAGGTGGGAAATGGAAGGCCTGTGGGGAGGGGCAGTGTAAGGAGACCCCAGCCTCCCAGCTTGGGGTGCTGAGTCTACCCTGGGGCCCTGCTTTCTGAGGGTGGGCTGGCTGGGCCTGTGCAGTAAGCCCCCTCCAGAGCAGTCCCTGCCTCCCCCTCCCTGCTCCTCAACTGCCCCGGGGATAGAAAGGGCAGGGCTTGCCTACGTCCTAGGTGAGGAGTGAGCCCCACCACAGGACCGGGATCCAGGACTCCAGCCCCTGTTTAGCCTAGATCATGGGAAGGCCTGGCCTGTCCTTGAGTCCAAAGGGGTAGCAGCAGCAGGGTCCTGTGGGGTACTGGCCTGAGGCAGGCCCACCAGTGAGACGCCTGTCACTTTGATTTCAGCCTGACGGCTGGGGCTGCAGCCTCTAGGTGAGTGTGGGGCCAGTGGCCCAGGGCTACCCGCCTGCCCGCCCCCGTGGGTTGCAGGGCTGCGCTGGGACGTTCTGCTGCTCAAGGCTGGGTCTAGCCTCCGCTGGTGCTTGTCTGTGTGCTTCTGCTGGGTTCCCTCCTGCTCTTGGTGGCACCTGTTGTGGGCTGCCAGTGGGCGAGTGGACAAGAGGCTGATGATCCCGGTGCCCCTGCAGGGAAGTCTCGGCCACTGCCTGTGTGACGGATGTGACCCTGCTGGGCCTGGAGCTGGGCCCCGAGGCCTCACTGGCCTGTTCCTGCTGCAGCGCCAGGACCCCCGGAGGTGGAGGCAAGAGTGAAGGCTCCTCTTCTGCCCCGTCTCCCCTCAGAGATGAGAAACATGTTCAGAAGGAAACGGTGTCTCTCGGCTGTGGCTCTGGGTGCAAACTGCATGGGCGGAAAAGCGGGGGTGGCTGCTCTTCCTGGCGGGCCTGGGCTGTCAGTGAGCTGGGCCCCGTGAGGAGGGCAGGAGAGTGGAGGAGGGCGGGCCTCTCACCCAGGCTGCCCCAGCTCCTCTCCTCAGCTTGCAGGACTGGCCAACCCCCTCCTTTGTGGGTGGGCAAGGAGCCTCCTGGCAGGCTCAAGAACCATGCGGACTGGGGTGGGTTGGTGGCACCAAGGGCAGCCCTCCCCGCCCCTCTCCTTCAAGGAGGGGTCCCGCAGCTGGGGTGTGTACAGAGGCGCACGGCCTCCTGCCACGGGGCTGTGCTGTATTTATGGCTGACAGAGGCAGCCAGTGGGTGGGGGATTCTGCTGCTCCCTCACCTGCCTGGCTCACTGGTCTCTTGAATTTTCTTCCCTCTGAAATCCTATTTAAGAACTTTTGGAAGCTTAGCCATTTTTACTTATTAAAATAAAAGCCTTTTTACACAAGTATGGTCTGAAAACGTTGGCCTATGAGCCCCTCTTGGTCTGCTAAGGGGGATGGGGCACTGGCAGGTCCTGTGGACTCCCGCGCTGGCTGGTCCCCCCATAGCCCTCCAGGATCTGTCCTCTAGAGGTCAGTTAGGGACATGCATCCTTAACTGGAGGGAGCCCGCGCCGTCCCACCCTGGGTCACTTTCTCTGTTGTTTGTGGTCACAGTCACCTCATGCAGTGCCTACCGCGTGCCCACAATAACCGACCTCCCAACAGGGGCATCCCTCCATGTTACTGATGGGAAGGAAACTAAGGCTGGAGAGAGCTTCGAAGGCTCATTAAAGCCTTGCCCAAACCATGCTGGCCTTCCGGGTTACTGCTGGACACGACCCACTGCCCACCCTGTGCCCACCCTTTGCCCTGGTCGTTTCCCTCTTCAGTGAACTGGCCAGAGGTCCACGCCACCTTCCTCCAGTGCCGAGGACCCTGACCACCCCGGGACAGGGCTGTACCTGGTCCCTGCCTTGGGAGCAGGAGAGGGCCCACCTGTCGCAGTGACCACAGAGCGGTGGGCCCTTTCCTGCCAGCCAGTGCTGGAGGCTCCAGCAGGGAATGACAGCTGATCAGAGCCCTGCTCAGAAGAGGCAGGTGCCTTCCAGTCCTGCCCCTGGAGGCATCCTGGGGGTGTCCATAAGACAGCTTGTGTGTGGCTGAGGTGGGGAGGACCGGCTGGTGGGGCCCACCCCTACCTAACCTCAACACCCAGTGGTGGAAGGGTGGTTGCCGCCTCTCCTTCCCAGTCTGAACCGGCTGAAGTGATGTCCCACAGGCCTGACTCTCTGCTGCCCCCTGCTGGTCACACGGCCCAGAGCCCCACCCCAGGGCTTGGAGGGGGTGTGGCCTCATCTCAGCAACGACGGGGCAGGCACTCCTGGGCCGCGGGGAGCCCTGTGGCCAGCAGAAAACATTCCCTGCAAGGAAACCTGGGAATAGTTACAAATTTAATAAAATTTGCCTTATAAATTACAGCAGCAGCCCCAGGGCTCAGTTCGCTGCCCCAAGAAGCAACGGTTGGGCAAAGCTGGGCAGCTATTGCTGGAGAGAGTTGTCTCAGAGTTCAGGGCTGTAGAGGTGGCCAGGGACCAGCGTCACCTCCTCCAGGACGGCCACAGGACAGTGGCAGGGGCCAGGCAGAGGCTCATGGGCCACTAGGCACACAAGGAACAGGAATGGGGGCTGAGGCCAGGCCCTGAGGGCAGCCAAGCGCCCCTGCCCACTGCGTTCCTCAGTCCAGACTGGCCATGAGCAGGTGCAGCTCGCGGAAAGTACTGCCGTGGCGGCCGCTCAGGCCCGACTTGCTCTTGACCAGGCCGCTGATGCTCTTGAGCTGCTTGTAGCAGAGTCGGCACTTGTGCAGCCTGTAGAGAGGGCAGTGCCTGAGGGGCCAGCTGGCACCACTACCACCCCCAACCCCAGGGCCTTTGCTGTCCTAACTGCTCCAGCCCCTCCTCCCAAGGGAAGGCGGAGGCCCAGAGGGGAACTACCCAGGCCCTGCCAGGGATCGTGGGCACAGCCAGGCCATGGAGGAACCCAGCTCTGGCTAAGCCCACCCATGCCCTGAGCCATGGCCCCAGACCAACACACCCTCTGTACTCCGTCCCAACAGGACCGTCAGTAAGAGGGGCCAGGGCCTCCAGGCCTTTGTCCCCTCACCTGTTGTGGCACCCCTGCCCCCAACACACGTGCCGCCTGGCCCTCACCTCTCCTCCCTACTGATATCCACACCCACGGAGGGCGGGGCCGCCAGCATGTCCGTGATGAGGGGCAGAAACCGCTGCAGGATCAGCTTCAGGGAGGTGCAGCCCGTCTGGACGTAGCTTCAGGGGGAGATGGATGAAGTCACAGATGGACTCAGGGCCACAGACAGAAAGAGAAACAGCGAGGAACAAAGGAGGAGCGGGGCAGACACGCAGACACAGACACACAGACACACACACACACACGCCTGTTTCCACTCCCACCTCTGGACCGTTGAGGGGCAGCAATGCTTCACAGCCAGCTCACAGGAACACCCAGGCTCTTGGGGGGGCCTTCCCACAGTCCAGGAGGAGGCTTCCTACCTCTCCCCTCCCCCTGCCTGAGGCAGGCATGGCTTCCCCACACGCACCTCTCATACTTGCTTTGCAGAAGCTTCTCGATCTGTGGCAGGACCGTGGTGCACAGGTCCAGCTTCCACAGGGAGCTAGGAGAGGCCAGGACACGTTGCTGTCAGCCCAGCCCTGCCCCTCCACCCACTCCCCCTCGGCAGCCACTTACGCTTTCTGGTTGACGATGTTCAGGAGGTCCACCACCACCGACAGGTCGTTGATGGCCACAGCGGAGTCCACCGACGTCTGTGCAAACAGAGCACCGTCAGGGGAGGGGCAGTGGGGGACAGTGTGGCCCTGTGAGGGTGAGGGTACGAATGCGAATGGGGGTGTGCTGGAGGGGCTGTGGGTGTTTACAGCACTGCACCTAACGCAGTGAGTGTAAGGCCAGGCATTAAACAGGTGCTCACTAAACGGCAGCCATGATGATGATGATAGGACGGCCTATCCCACATGGGTGGCCTCTTCTTGTTCTGCCCCAAGCCTGGGCAGGCAGGTGGCAGGGGCAGGGGGCGAGATGAGGCCCTGGGCGAGGGTGGGCGCTTGCCTTGATGTCGCCCGTGGTCCACACAGCCCGCACGGTGTCCAGGTTCTTGTGGCGGCTGGTGAGCACCACACACATGGTGTCGTGGCCTTTGCGGATCTGTGACATGGCATCCTCGTCCACCAGCTCAGCCTGCTGGGGGATCTTCACGGCCTATGTGGGATGGGCACCCAGATGCTGGCATGGGAAGAGCTGGCAGCAAAGCTCTGCTCTCCACCCACAGACCTCCACCCACGCCTCACACTGGGCTCCCACTCACGGGCAGGAAGTCGGAGGCCTTCAGCCCGATGGGCTCATTCCGGGTGGCAGGGATGATGGCAGGCTCAGCCTTGGGTGCAGGTGTGGAAGCAACCACCGGGGGCCGGGGCAGGACCTCCGGCTGAAACGGGTGTGAAGCTCTGGGTGCCAGCCTGGGGCCTCCCTCTCTGCCTCCCAACATGAGGGACCCCCAACCCTGGGTCAGGACCCTCTCTAGGTCCCACACCATGCTCCCTCCATGGACATACGTTTGGCACTGGGAACTGCACATCCATGGCAGAGCTGGGCTTTGCTGCCTCCTTTGCTGTGGCTGCATCTGGAGGCAAAAGGAAAAGATAACTGGGTCCAGCCAGAAGGGCCTCAGGGCGGAGCTCTGGGCAGCATCGCAATGGGGACGGAGCAGGAGCGTGGGGAGGCGGCAGGCCAGTAGCATGGGGGCTCCAGAGGACCTGGGGGCAGGCCTGGACCTGCCTCCTCCCTCTCCCCGAACTCAATCTTAAGTCTGCCTGTGGGTGGGACCCAGGGGGCTCCAGGATGTGACTGTCCTGTCCCTTCACTGGCATGTGTGTGGAGGGGGCTGGGATAAGTGACTGGCAAGATGGAAGTGGAGCCTCCTAGGAAACCCAGCCTCCAGAAGACGGCAAGGACGGTCCCTGCGGGAAGGCCAGGTGGAGGGCAGGGGTACTCTGTAGGACAGGGGGCCCCACACCTGCCCCTTCTCCAACCACAACGCAGATCATGTTTTCTCCCTTCTTAATCCAAACCCCCAGCTGAGGCCTTGTGGGCCTGACCTCTTGCTGGGACTCACCCCAGCTCCCCGCCTCTCAGCTCCCTTCCTACCGGAAGCGCTCCCCTCTCCCTCTTCTTGCTGGCCCCCAGGCCTCAGCAGTTGTTGGGCCTCCTGAGAGCCTCCCGATCATCCCATCTACAGCAGACCCCATCTAAGGTGGGCCCCCAGTGACTCCTCTCCATCCTCCACAGCCCGAGTGCCCCTGGCAGGCCCGCCCGTGTGGTGGTGTCTATGTCTGTCCCCCACACACCAGGGCACAGGCTCCTTGGGAGGCACTGTCAGTCTTGCAGGGACCCGGCACATAACAGGTGGAGGGCAGAGACCCAGCGGGAGAGGCTGTGGGTCGTGTCCTGAGAGGGGAGGTTCCAGGGAAGGGGCTTGTCGGGAGGGCTCACAGGGAGAGAAGATGAGGGACGGGGGGCATCAGAGACCTTAGGAAACTAGGCTCACCCAACTCACCGTCCTCTGGGGGTGCAGGGAAGGGTTCACTTCTCCGGGGTGGTGTCCGGCCTGCAGAGGAAAGAGGTCCCTGGCTGTGAGCGCTCCTGGCCAGGTCACCTGGGACCCAGGGCCCTGTCAGAGTGCGGGGGACAGAGGGTAGCTCCCAGGCATGTGGCCACAGACCGTGCACCCTGCTCTTGGTCCCAGGAACCCTCAGTCCTGCCCTCCCAGCCCACTTGTCCCTGGCAGGGCAGGGACTGAGACCTTGAGCAGCTGCTGGGCCGATGCTGGGGAGTGCCCAGGGCCCCCTCTCAGTTCCATCAGAGCATAGCCTGGCAAGGCCCAGGGAACATGAGGACAGGGCGTGGAACCCAGGTTGGGTTAGGAAGAAACTAAAGGGACGTAGAGCCATGGCAGGCCATCCTGGAAGGACCCTCAGCCTCCCTTTCACCGATGGGGATGCTGGGCTGGGGGCAGGAGCCCGGCCTCACTGATGCTGTTCTTGGGCTGAAAGATCTCGTTGTAGTCCTCGGCGTTCTGGATCTCCGCGCGGGACTCGCGCTCGTCCCGGTCATCCTCACTGCTGGGGCTGCGGCGCTCGCTCTCTGAGTTCTGCTTCACCCTGGGGGCATGAGGCCAAGCCCAAAGGAAGCAGGTGCCCTGTAAGGCCCAGGGCTGAACTCCGAGGCTTCCCCTACGACAGGCCCTCTCCTGTGCCCCCTAAGGCCCCCCACGCCCCCACCTCTGAGGCTTGCTGCAGGTTGTGCTGGGCCGCTCGTAGATGCGCCGGAGTGGGGCACTGGGGTTGGGTGGTGGCTGTGCCAGGGGTCGGTGGTCCTGCACAGGGTCCCGGGTCACCGTGCCAGTCCTGGTGACACGTGTCAGATCCACCACGTAGGAGGAGACGTTGCTCTGGGAGAAGGCCACACCTATCTGCAGGAAGCAGAGAGGTGGGGCTGGGCCTGTGAGCTAAGGGGGCAAAATCCCAGCCCCAGTGTGGGGGTAGGAGGAAGGGCCTGGGCTGGAGGGAGGCGGGTGGCCCTGTGGGAGTGGGGGGTGGTGGGTGCCATGGCTGTCTCACCAACTGGTCATTGCAGATGGCCAGGTCGGCCACCTTGCCCCAGTTGACGAGGACCACATCAAAGCACCGCTCAGGTTCCCAGCCGTAGACACGCAGCGAGTCCTGGCAGCCGCTGTACAGGCAGCAGCCGTCGGGGTTGAACAGGACGCTCCTGGGCCAGGTGAGACATGGCTGTGGGTCCTGTGGCACCCAACCTGGTCCCCACTCTGAGGAACCCAGAGAGCCCAGGGCAAGGAGGGCACAGCAGCAGAGATGGGAAAGGCCCACCCACAGCCACGCCCCACTGTCCGGGAGAAGCACTGGGCCGCCCACCCCACAGCCTGCGTACCTGACAGGCCCAGGCTCCCCTTCGATGCAGCTCACCACCTGGAACTTCTCCAGGTCCCAGAAACGGATTGTCCTGCAAAGGTAGCCAGGCTGTGCTGCCAAGCCTATCTCTCATCCTGGCCTCCACATGCCCCTGGGAAGCCAGCTTCTCTCCAGAAACCTCTCCCCCAGGGCAGGGCCACCAGGAGCAACGTCTGGGGCAGAGCTGGCCCTGACTTTGCAAGGGGGAGGCTGGGCCCAATAGCCCTGGCCCCAGGGTTGGCCCCAGTAGCCATGAGCCTCCCTGCCCTATGGGGCCCCGCTAGGTGCCTTGGGTCCCAACCTGCCCATGAAGCCATAGACCTGGGACACTGAGGCCAGGGAACCAGAGCCAGGGGAGATGACCAGGGTTCAGTCCTGGCTGGGCTGAAATCCAATTCAGTCCACACAGGATTGTCAGGCGTATAACACCCCAGACAGTGACAGACCGAGAGCAGAGACGCGCAGAGGACAAGGTGGTGAAGGACAGCAGTCATGAGCAACTCGCCCGCTCCTCCTCACCTGTCAGAGCTGCCGGAGGCCAGGAGGTACTCATTGGGGTGAAACTCGACCACGTTGACAGGCCCCGTGTGACCAGGGAACTCAGACATCATCTTGCCGGCAGTGAGATCCCAGAGCTGGAGGCAGGGCAGGGAGGAGGTCAGAGCGACCAGGCATCTTGGCTACCCACCCTCTCTCTAATCCAGGCCAAACTTTTTATCCACAAGCTACCTTCCACTCAGGATGGGCTTGGGACATGTGAGCCCGATCAGGAGGGAGGTGAGGACTCAGCCTGGTGTGATCAGCAGCCCCCAGCCCCCAGCCCCCGGGCCCAGGTCAGGCTGGGAGCTACCTTCACGGTGTGGTCATCTGCAGCCGACGCCAACCACTTCCCATCAGGGCTGAACCGGAGACACCGCACGGCCTGGCTGTGCCCCTGAGGGAGGACACAGCATGAGCTCACCCTGAGATCCTGGGCCCAACAGACTTCTCTCTGCCTCCTCACTCCTATGGGACCCCTTCTATCTAACGACACCGGTTATCCACCTGGTTCTGTAGGGAGCAGATTGATGAACGTGGCTCTAGGGGATTCATGGAGAGCCAGGGGATCCAGGTGGGCCGCCCATGGCACTCCTGCTTGGCTCCAGATCCATGTTTTATGTTCTCACCCATGTGGGACAGCCATCCCGTCCCTCCCCTGCCAGGGTCTGGGCACCACGCCACACTCAATGCCTGCAAGGTGCTCATGGAGTCACTGACAGAGCGCATCCTTACCCTGTATCGGAAGACACAGCCTTTCCTCCTGATGTCCCAGAGCTGTGGGGGTGAGAGAAGCAAAGGGGCAGAGTCAGGAGAGGTCATGACTGAGGCCCAGAGCCACGACTGGAGGAAGGTGTGTGGCCGTGAGCAGAGGGCAGAACGCAGGCTTCTCTAGGTTGTTACTCCCCATGGTAACAAGGACAGAAACTGCTCACTAAGCTGGCGTTCTGAGCAGAAACGTCTGGCAGATGCCTGCCACCCACCTTCCCTAGGATGGTGCGGATGTGGCTGCAGAAAGGGAAGAGGTCCCCTCAGCGGGCATCCAGCACTGAGGGCCGGGCCAGTCCTGCCGCAGGCCCAGCAGGAGACACGGGGCATGGACCGGCCTCTCACCTTGATGTTCGTGTCCTGGGAACCGGAGGCTACGAACTCGCCATACGGGTGGAAATCCAGGCTGCAGATGTTGGCTTTGTGTCCCATGAGTGTGCGAAGAACTAACAAGAAGGAAAGCAGAGACAGTGGCTAAGAGCAAATGAGAAGGCTGGCAGAGGAAGGGCTGCTGTGGGGATTTGTGTGTGCGCTTTTGGATTAACTGCACAGAAAACAGAACAGAAAAATAGAACAATGACACGTATTTTTAAAATAGGAGGAAATAATCAAGGGTCCCACCACCCTAACAATGAATTTTCTTTTCTTTTTTTTTTTTTGAGGAGTCTTGCTTTGTCGCCCAGGCTGGAGTGCAATGGTGCAATCTCGGCTCACTGCAACCTCTGCCTCCCGGGTTCAAGCAATTCTCCTGCCTCAGCCTCCCAAGTAGCTGGGATTACAAGCATGTGCCACAACACCCAGCTAATTTTTTTATATTTTTGGTAGAGATGGGTTTCACCATGTTGGCTGGGCTGGTCTCCTGACCTCAAGTGATCCACCTGCCTTGGCCTCCCAAAGTGTTGGTATTACAGGCGTGAGCCACTGTGTCCAGTCGACAACTAATTTTCCTTTATTTCTCTTGAGAGATGACAGCCCTGTGTTACCTCAAGTCTGCAGAAATTATACCGCACTCTCCCCACAGACTGTGCCCCAGCGGCAGCAGAGCCAGGGAACCACCACACTCAGTTCAGGCCCTATAGGCATGCAGCTTATGGTTTGCAGGGCGCTGAACCCCACCCAAGACAGCACGAGGAGAGAGAGAGATCAGGAGAGGTTCGAGCTGGGAAAGAAACAGCTTGGTTGGAAAGAGAAATCCAGGAAGGCTTTATGGAGGAGGTGGTATTTGAGTAGATGTCAGTGGGTGGAGGATGAAGGATGCACTGTTAGGTAGATGGAGGTGATGGGCAAAAGGCCCTAAGGAGGGCAAGGGGAGGGCATGGCTGGGGTGGCCCTGGTGCACACACCCATCTTCTTGGGTGACCCCTGTCCATGGGATCTTGAGGATGGTTGTGAGGACACACTGAGGAGCAGTGAGAACTGAGAGGATACAGGGAGGACACGCGAGGACCAAAGAACTCCCGGGGTGGGGCCTGATTGCCTCCCATCCTTTCCTTGAAGGTTTTGCAGGCATCTCCATGGCCAGGAGCGATCCAGCCTGGAGGCAAACCTTGTGTGTTCCAGGGTGTCTTCCAGCACCACTCAAATTTGTCTCATGTTTCCTGCTTTTGGAAAGATTTATAATTCACTATCCAAACAAAACTGACCATCCCGAGTGGCGGGGCCAGGAAATATGGGAGTCCAGCCATTCTTAGTTTTGAACCAAGGTGCAATAGGGTGCCTTGTGAGGTAATGAGCTCTCTGTCAGAGGAGGTATTCAAGATTCCATATATAACACTTTACTGCAGAGTTGAGATCCAAGCACCGGGTGAATTAAATGAACTCTATGTATGATCTTCTCTACCCCCAAAGTCAGGATGTGGGCTGTGGCGTCAGGCAGTACTGGGATCAGCCTTGGCTCCAATCCTCACTGGTGGTGTGATCCTGGCCAATCACATACTGTCTCTGGGCCTCACGTTGGGTCTCAGAATGGAGTAAACAAACAGACATAAAGTGCTTAGCACGGGCTCTGCACATGGTAAGTGCTCAATAAATGCCAATCATAATTAGTCCCATTCACATGTCTTCCTGCACAAGGCCTGCCTTCTGCTCTTGGCTGTCCCGCAAGCTGGGCCTTCTCTCCTCCTACCCAGGCCTCAGTGCCCCTCTGCAGCTGGCCCTGTCTGGCGCTGGAGCTGGGTCTGGACACTTTCACATCCCTCTGGAGTCTGTCGAATGCATATCCAATTCACCTGCACCAGAATCTCTGCAGCTGTCCCTCCTTGCTCCGTGTAGCTATCAGCTGCTGCTGGGGGCTGGGCATTGCCTCCTGGCCAAGGAGGCCACGCTAGCTCCTGCTCCAGTCCACACCCGCTCCCAGCCCACTCAGCTTGGATCCCACAGCAAGGCTTCCAAAATCCTGCCCTGCCCGAAGAGGATGTGGAGGAGTCCCACCCTGTGTGGGCTGGCTGCATGAAGTGCCGTTCACCCTCCTGTGGGATCCCGTGGGATCCCCTGCGCTGAGCCACCCTCGCCCTCTGGCTGCGCTGTGAAAGCAGGCAGGACCACATTCTTCTCGCCTGACTCCTGCCCTTGCTCTTCTATCCCACGAAGGCCTCTGATGCCCACATTCAATCATGGGATCTAGGAACTGCAGAGTGGAGGGGCCTCTGGGGTCTGTCTGCCCCACACAGGAACCCCCAAGGCCTCCCAGCTGAGCACATCCTTAGCCTACATCTGAGCCCTCCAGTGATGGGTGGCCTTCCAAGGCAACCGATATGAGAGGCAGCTCTCTCTCTTTCTCTCTCTCTTTTTTTTAAATAGAGACAGGGGTCTCCTTTTGTTGCCCAGGTTAGTCTTAAACTCATGGCCTCAAGTGATCCTCCTGCCTCAGCCTCCCAAAGTGCTGAGATTACAGGTGTGAGCCACCATGCCAGTGGAGCAGCTCTCTTTGGAACCTTTCTACACCTGGGGCCTCAATTTGCCTGTCTGTCATTGTCACCCGAGCTCTTGCAAGTGGGGGTGGAGGAGGCCGGAGGTCTTAGCTCTACTTGCTGTGCTGAAGGCAAGTTTCTCTTCCATTCAATGGCACAACAGAGAGCACTGGGATGGGATTCCTCACGCCAGGATTCAAGTCCCAGGCTCTGCTCTGCTGCCTGCAGCTACCAGGGCTTTCCTAAGCTCGGTGCCCTCCCTGGGCCTCCATTTGCCCATCTGTCAACCTGGCTGTCCATCAGAATCACCTGGAAGCTTATTAAAATCCAGATCCTGGGCCCACCCCAGTACTGAGTCAGGTTCTCCAAGGGTGGAGTCTGGGCCATGAGTTTGTAATAAGCTCCTTGTGGAGGAGCCAGCCCTGGCTGTCCAGGGCCCAGGAATCCAGCAGTCTTCATTTTTCATTTCTCAGCCACTTCAAGGAATTCCTCACATTTCCCTCATGAGTAAAACAATTGTAGCTGAGAAAGCCTGGACAGGGGGCACGGAGCCCTCGGTTTCTCCCTTTTGTCTCTTGTTCTTCAGTGAATACTGAATGGCTGGTGCCCACACGCTGGGATTCAGGTCCAGGAAGCTGCCCGCCTTCTGCCTGAGCCTTCCCACCTTCTCCATTAGAGCCCAGCCATCCTGGACTCGCTCCTCCCTGGCCCGCTTGAGTTCAGTGACACCCAAGCACAGCATGCCCTGGTGTGACCAGGCAGTGTGATCACATGCCGAGACGCAAAGCCTGCAGTCCTGTTTGTTATCAAAGAGGTCCTGGGGCCCTTTCGTTCTTAAACTGACCATCACTGAGGAGGCCTGGGTGCATCTTTATTGAGTACCACCTACACAGAAAGCCCGCTGTTCCTGAGCCTTGCCACTGTGTATGCACGGCTCATGGCTGCGGCCCTGCTGCCAACATAGAGCACAAACCAAGGAGAGGCCCAGAAGAATCCTGAAGTCTCAGCCAGGCCAGAGGGGCTCTCTTCTGGAAAAAGCAGCCTCGGCAACATCCACATTGCTGCTTCCTCTCCAGGGCTTCAGGTAGGTGGCCTCCTGCCTGGCACGTGGGGTGATCCAACCAAGGCTGTCAAAAAGCATCAGGCAGTCCAGGCACGGTGGCTTATGCCAGTAATCCCAGCACTTTGAGAGGCTGAAGAGGGCAGATCACCTGAGGTCAGGAGTTCAAGACCAGCCTGGCCAACATGGAGAAACCCCATCTCTACTAAAAATACAAAAATTAGCGGGGCATGGTGGTCCGTGCCTGTAGTCCCAGCTCCTCAGGAGGCTGAGGCAGGAGAATCACTTGAACCTGGGAGACAGAGGTTGCAGTGAGCTGAGACTGCACCACTGCACTCCAGCTGGGGTGACAGAGCGAGACTCCGTCTCAAAAAAGAAAAGAAAAGAAAAGAAAAGAAAAGAAAAGAAAAGAAAAGCATCAGGCAAACAGATCTCATTTGGACCTCTCAGTGCTGGCCTGCATGGTGTTCTGAAACAAATGTTGAGTGAGCTGTCAACATTTTTAAATGGGTGGATTCCACATGAATTTCCAGATTTCCAGCCTCTCTTGAAAAATCCGTAGAGCTGGTACCACCTGCCAAGGCACCGAGGCACAGCACAGGAGCAGTGGGCGAGACTCTCCACTCAGCCCAGAACTGAGGGCATGAGTTTCCAGACCACAACCGCAAGAAACCAGCGATGACCTAGCACAGGGTGGAAACAGACCTGCCCCAAGGCTCATCACACCACAACACTGGGACAAAGACCCTAAAAGCCTGCGGAGACAGAGAGAGAGGAAAGAAAAGACAGAGAGAGAGAGGAAAGAAGAGAGAGAACGTGGAATGAAGCCAGTCCCCTGTGAAGGATCTGGGATTAGAATAGCACCAGCCCCTCCCAATAGCAACCCTAGAACCTAAAAGGCAGAAGAGCTGCACCTTCCAAATTCTGAGGGCGATATTTTATTGCCAGCATAGAACTCTATACTCAAACTCATAAAACAAACACAAAAGCAAATGATGAGGGTAGCATAAAGTTATTTTTAGCCATGGAAGGTCTCCAAAACTATGCCTTCCCAGCACCCTTTCTCAGTAAGCTACAAAAGAATGTGCTCCATCAAAAAGAGGGAGAAAACCAAGAAAGGTGGCGGAGTGGGACCAGGAACAGCAGACGGAGAGAATTCCCCAGAGAAGAGACACGGAGGCCCAGGATGACAGCGGGGCTGCAGGCCACTAGGACCAGAGGAGAGGCTCTGAGAAAAGGCGCCTGGATTATGGGATGGGTTTCAAAGAAATAGGAGGAGCTTTACTCGTCTGGCAGAGAATCTGGGGATAAATGAGTAATACAGACATAGAAAACACACAGATTAAAAAAGAAAAAAGAACAACTATTAACTACAGGGAAACCAAGTTATTAAAAAGAAACAGTCAGTGGTAAATGACACTTACGCGTCCTTACGTTATAAACACCGCTTATTGAAATGGTGCTACTGGGAGGGTGGGAGGAGAAACACGAGCGATAGGGCTGGGGGTGGTGCCACGAGACAGCTAAATTTTCATCCTCTACAGCAGGAAGAGAATAATGTGCTAATTTTTTTTTTTTTTTTTTTGAGATGGAGTTCTGCTCTTGTTGCCCAGGCTACAATGCAATGGTGCAATCTCAGCTCACCACAACCCCCACCGCCTGGGTTCAGGTGATTCTCCTGCCTCAGCCTCCCAAGTAGCTGGGATTATAGGCATGTGCCACCATACCCAGCTAATTTTGTATTTTTAGTAGAGATGGGGTTTCTCCATATTGGTCAGGTTGGTCTTGAACTCCCAACCTCAGGTGATCTGCCTGCCTCAGCTTCCCAAAGTGCTGGGATTATAGGCGTGAGCCACTGCGCCTGGCCACGATGTTTTTTAAATAAGAAAAGAAAGAAACTGTGGTATAACCATGTGGTCTAGAAAGGTGGAGGCGATCAGCAAAGCACAGACGAAAGCACAGAAAGTTTCGGCTCTTGGAGAATGGGAAGGAGTAGGGCATAAGTTTCCTCTTTCCATTGGAATTAATTGCAGAACTACTGGTATTTGAGGTTTTAAATTTTAGGCTATGTATAGCTTCCATACAGATGAAAACTAAATTAAAACAGAGCACAAGCAAACAGATCTGGCCATTCCAGGCTGCCTGATGGCACCAGGGAGCCAAGACAGAGTGGGAACCACCTGGAGTCGGGGTACAAGCTCCCCGGTTCTTCACGGCTGTCCCACACAGCCACCTCACTCATTCACGAGACCTGCAGGGCCCCTGGCCACATGTGACGTCCCTTTAGGTTCTAAATACACACACACACGCACACACACAGATGCAGACACACACATCCCACATCCAAACACACACACATCCAAACACACACACATCCAAACACACACACACCCCTACACCCTGGGTACTGAACACCTCCTCCCTCCTTCCATCTCCTCCTCCTCCTATCATTCGCCCAGGCTCAGCCCCAAACCCCTCGTCCCACTTCTCCAGTTGGGACAGTGGGGTTGATTGGTTTTTTTGCCGGTTGGTGTGGGGCAAGCGTGACCTGGTTGGGCCGGGTGCCGCGGAGGTGGCTGACTGCGGGGCCTGAGGCTAAGGCAGTGCGGCGTGCACGGCCAAACACACACACATCCAAACACACACACATCCAAACACACACACACACACACACACACACACACACACCTGTGCATCCCCCAACCCACACGATGGTTCATGCAGACATTTTCCAGCAGGCCCTCAGTGCCAGCTGCTAGAGGCAGCAGTGCATGTCAATGCCAGGCTAATGGGGGTGGAGTGGGTGCCACACTGCCCGGTTAGTGCTCCAGGAGCAAAGCAGCCAACCTAGTCCAGGCAGGCTTCCTGGAGGAAGTGGCACAACTGCAGAGCCTGAAGACTAAGGCAGGTGCGCGTGCACAGGAGGCAAGCTCGGAGGCCTACTTTTGGCAGCTTCCAGGTCCCAGACACGGATGGAGCCTGACTGGGAGCCAGCCACGATGAGCTCCTCGGGGGTGTTGAGGCGGACGCTCTCCACTGGGGACGTGTGGCCCGTCAGGCTCTGTGGAGAGAGGGCAGCAGCTGCATTACACTGCGGAACAGACCCCCGCAGTTGCCGCCCTGAATTCCAGGTCCCCCGGAAACGCTTCAGCGAGAAGTGGCTAAGGCAGGAGAGCCCCCCATGGGGCCACAGCAGAGCCCTCCCGCAGGGCCTTTCTGAGCAGCTACTCCTCTCGGCCTCAGCTCTCAAGGCTAAAAGTGGACAAACCCCAGTCATCCCCCCACCACCTCCCTCTTCCTCGCTGTGCTTCTGACACGGGCGTCACCTGCAGAAATGGCCCTGGGCCTCTCAGAGGGGAGTGACTGGCCAAGATAAAGGGATGCTGTCCCTTCGGCCCTAAGTCAAGCAACCCGCCCCTGCTCTATTCCCCTCTTCACTCTGCCCCACACAAGCCCCTCAGCGAGGAAAGCCACAGCAGAACCAAGGCCTGCCTGGTCCCGGGCACAAATCTTGCCCCTCTGGAACCCCCGGCTCTCCCCGACTGCCCATCCCCACGGAAAGGAGAGGGCTGTAGGGGTTGGAGGAGGGCGGAAGACTTTTCACTGTGGACCCTCTATCTTTTGGATGTTGAGAGGAATAAGTGTATCCCATACTCAAAAACAAAAATAAATCCAAGTGGACAGCCTGCAGGGGGAGAGCGTGCACAGAAACCCCAAGGAGAGAGAGACCCTGGCAGGCTAGAGGCACTGTAAGGCCTGGGAGGCTGGTGTGTGTGAGCCAGGGCAGCAGCCCGGGGCGAGACGGCCTGGGGCCTGACAGCTGTACCTGGCATTCAAAGACAAGCCTGCAGGCCAGGCCCCAGGCGGTTGGCCCCGTTTCTCTGGGGGTCGTGGCATGTCCTATTTTTGGTCAGTCATTGGTGATGCTTTTTCAGCTTGTGTATGCTACTACTTTGGCATTTCGGTGGGGGTAGAAAACACATTTAAACCCTAAAAACAAAGTAAAACAAAATATTTCAATTCATCTTTACTGACCCCTGGCACCCTTGCTGAAGCTGGGGTGGATCTCAGTTCTACCCCTGGATCTCAGAAAAACAGAGGTGATTAAGTTTCTACTAAGAAATTCATCCTTTGCCATATTCTTTTTTTTTTTTTTTTTTGAGATGGAATCTCGCTCTGTCACCCAGGCTGAAGTGTGGTGGCACAATCTCGGCTCACTGCAACCTCCGTCTCCTGGGTTCAAGCAATTCTCCTGCCTCAGCCTCCTGAGTAGCTGGGACTACAGGTGCCCGCCACCACGCCCGGCTAATTTTTGTGTTTTTAGTAGAGACGGGATTTCACCATGTTGGCCAGACTGGTCTCAAACTCCTGACCTCAGCTGATCCACCTGCCTCGGCCTCCCAAAATGCTGGGATTACAGGTGTGAGCCGCTGTGCCTGTCCTAATTTTCTTTATCTATTTCACCAGGAGTCAAAACAATGATACTTCCCTGGTTGGCAAGGGATACGGGGTGGGGCATGGAGGAAAGGGCAGGTTCTGATGCTGCTGGTGAGAACGTAAAATGATTTCTGGAGGGCAATTCGGCAATCTGTTTTGAAAGCTTTAACAAAAGCACACACCCTTGGATTGAATGCAATGATCACGGATCTGCTCAAGGATCTAGGTGGCTGAGGATGTTCACCACAGGGTGGTTTAGCGGAGCCAGAAAAAAGCCGGAAACAACCTCCATGCTGATAACAGGGTGTGGCTAATATAATTACAGCTCATCCCTACAATGGAACACCATTAAGCCATTCAAAATTATGTTGTAAAAGAATACTTGTTGACACAGGCAAATCCTTACAACATTGTTATTTTTAAAAATCAGGCTGCACAAGAGTGGCAGTGTATTTTTATTTGTGTGTGTGTGCTTGTATGAGTATTTGCGTGTATACATGTGTACATGCATGTACAAGTGTGCACACATGTGCATGTACACATATACGTATCTGTCTCAGCATCTAGGACTCAGACCAAAACACCAACTGTGGTGGCCTTTGGATAAAAGAACTATATGTAATTCATTTTGTGTTTTCTCCTTTATGTGCTCCTAGTTAGAAAACAGTTTCTAGCATTGAACATAGCTGCATAAATAGTGGGGAGATGCTATTTAAGAACTAGCTCCCTAATCAGCTCCAGCCAGGTCCCCTCAAATCCTTGTTGGGGAATGAAGGCTGGGAATGAATTAAAATAAACGCCCACATGTTGCTGCCAGGCAGGCAGATGGGCAGGTGGGAGGGGAGGGGTATAAGTCTTGGCTCAACCACAGGCCCAGGGCTTATTTTAACCTTCTCACGAAGCCTGCCTGGAGTTCTTAATAGTACCACAGGCAGGTGACTCCCTCGCTCCTGAGGGCTGGCCACTGTCCCAGCCATGCTGGGCTGTCCTGGGCCTCACTGAGCAGACAGCTGGGGGAAGCACCACGCCCCCTCCATCCCTGGACTGGGCCCCAGCGGATAGGGGGCCCTGGGCTCAAGAGAGCCTGAGAAGCTGCTCACTCTTCAGCCTTCAACCCCTGTCCCTGTCCCCTCCCCAGGTCCTTGTCCTGACCCCCTGCTGGCTGTCGGGGCTCACCATGATGCAGTTGGGCTTGTTGATGGACCACAGGTTGACGCGGCAGTCATCCCCGCCTGTAGCCAGCAGCCGCCCGGAGCCTTTGCCCAGCACCAGTGAGGACACATTGCTGGCATGTGCGACGATCTCTTCTACACAGGGAAGGAGAGGGAGAGGCCATCAGGGGGGCCCGATGTGGCCTTGTGAAGGAGGGGTGACCCTGCTCGGCTACCCGCTCCAGAACCTGAAACCCAGTGGAAGGCTCTGCCTCCTTCAGCTCCCGCTTTGGTGCCCACCATGAGCTGTGGGACCAGCAGACAGGGCAGGGCATGGGCCTGAGACAGAAATCACTGTTTCTCAACTTTCATCATACCTGTCCTTCCTACCTTTAGACTTCACGATTTTCTTCCTGTTTCTGCACATCACTTGGTAATATTGACTAGTTATACTCAATTTTTAAAATTGACTTGCTATTTTTTATTAGCTTGTTCTTAGGCCATATCCATGAAATTACAAGTTTGATATACTCATGATACTGTATGATACAAAAAGAAAAACAGTTACTAAAATTAAAAAAAAATTGACCCATGTACTGCCTATGCACCTCTCAGCTGCTGTTTATGTGGACACGCAAACCCCGTTTTGGAGAACACACTCTAAAACAACCAAAGTCACCTCTAGACAAGCTGCCCCCAGGTGAGCCTGCATGGGGCTGTGGCTCAGATTCAGAATCATGGATCAGGTTCTGGTCTGAGGTCTGCGATCTGCTATTGCGTGGCCTTGGCTACTAGGTCACCTGTCCTCTGAGGGCCTGGCTCGTCTGGAAAGTGGGGATACCCATGGTGCCTGCTCACACCTGATGCTGAGGACTCCCTGAGAGCGTGCCTGTGTGCTGCTTAGTAGCAGGTGAGGGCTCCGTGACGTTGGGCAGGCTCGGGGCTAGTCACCATGAGAAAGTGGGCATGGGGGCCCAGGCGGGCACCGGAGGGTGGGCTTCATGAGGAGGGGGCAGGAGGCAGCAGACTAAGCAGCCGGGGTGGGGGTGAGGGCTGACCACACAGAGGAGGAAGCCATGAAGACAGCCCAAGGCCCCTGGCCTGGTCAGTGGAGATGGCAGGCATGAGCCTCGGAGGGCTCCACAGGGAGCAAAGCACAGGCAGGGAACCAAGAGGTGGCCAGGGCCTCGGAGCCCATCCCTGTGCAAGCTCCTTCTGGAAAGAAAGAAGAAAAAAGACAGTTCTCCCTACACAGGCCAGGGGAAAACCCCAAGACGCTGATGCCCCGAGGCACCTGGGAGGCCAGCGTGGGTGACGCCAAGGAAAAGGGTGTTGCAGCCACAGTGCTCCACAGAGGCCCCTCCTGCACCCCAGCTCCAACTCCACCCTGCTTGGGTGTCTCTGCTGCGGACTTCAGACCACAAGGAGGTTGGGAAACTGGGTCCACGGAAGCTGCTTGCCAGAAAGCCGGGCTCCAAGGGGCCACCAGGAATGCCCAGGGGACAAGTCGCAGGCTCAATCTCACCGATGACACCCTGCCTCCTGGCCCGGCCAGGGCAGAGCCGGCACAGGCAGCAGCACCAGCAAGGGCAAGGGTTCCCTGTGGGCCCAAACCTAGGCCAGGGCACCGGAGAGCTTGCCGTGGGGATCCCAGGGAGCGAGGCCCCACTTTAGTCCCATCTCAACGAGAGCCTTCTGTCCTCTGGACACTGTGGGGACAGAAACCTGGGGAATCCAGCCACAGACATGTGTCTGTTCAAGAGTTTCTGCCCAGCCCGGAAAGAGGGCAAAGCACCTTCTCCCTGGCATTCTGTGCCCAAGGCTGGCACCCTCTCCGTGGAGGCACTGCCCACTCCCCCTGGCCTACCTGGAGGGCTCTGTCTATCCCCTGGCCCTCACTCCTCCCAGGGAAAGTGTCTGGCTGGGCCCCACCTCACTGGGCCTCAGGACTGCTGCCCCTGGAGACAGTCATTCATTCATAATATCAGTATTTCCTGGGTGCCCACTCTAGGTCTTGCACAAAATATGCCCCAATGTGATCAGACGGTGGTGGGGGCGGGAGACTGAGCTGGCAAAACCACAGACTTTGGGGTGAGAAGAATTTAGAAGTTGGGCCCTTCTTGAGGAGCCCACATCACTCCCCTCTAAGCAGCCTGACCAGGGACTGACTGGAGCCCAAGGAGGGAGAGCAGAGGGGCAGGGACACAGCACAGGCACCTGCAAAGGAGGCACGGGGCACCACCCCAAGAGCTCCTCCTTCATCCTGGCTTGAAGGACAGCGACCAACAGCCCAGGCCGAATACTTGATTTTCATACAAAAAATGAAAAATAAAAATCCTCAGTGTCTACTGGCAGGCCAAGCTCTGGGAGCACATACAACCTGGGCCCCACATCCAGCCAAAGCTGGGGAACACGGTGCGGCATGGCAAGAAGGGCTGAGGATCCACATCCCAGATGCAAGATACAAAGTACTAGGTTTCAACGACCTCATGTGGGCCACGCACTTCTGATCCTCACCAGACCCTGGAGCCACAAGGAGCCAGAGGTCATGTGGCCCTGGGCTCTTCAGAGTTGATTCCCATGGACACCACCATGCACACAAAATCAGCAGCAGCAGCAGATGTCCAACACGCCTGATCTCATTACCTCCTGCTCGCACACTCTGATGGCTTGGCCTTGCCTTTAAGATAAAGCCATGGCAGCCTCAGTAGGGCTGGGGTCCTGTGGACACGCGCTCCTGTGAACTCACTAGGTCTGTGCGGCCCCACGTTCTTCCTGCTGCTGTGCCACTGCCCATGGCCTCCCTTGAGTCCTTCCAATACGCCGAGCCTCCTGCCTCAGGGCCTTTGCGCTTGCTGTTCATGCAACCTGCAGTATTCCCACCCCACCCCCTACCCCACCCCCGAGTTAACGAATTCAGCTTGCAACTAGAGGAGACACAGAGGGATACGGTTATCCAGTTCCTGCCTGTTGCTCTCCCCAGGCTCTGAGCTCCCACCGAACAGAGACCTTGACTATTTTGTCGCCCATTGGCTCCCCAGTGCCTAGCTCTGGGGAAAGGCCAGCTGTTGAAGGGATGAATATGTAATCCCAATAATGACAAAGTCACTCTGACCGAAGTGTGCCCTCCTTGGGGAACCATAAAAGGGTTCTCTCAGAGCCCTAGAGCTTTGGGGAACAACATGGAAATGGCCCAAACCTCTCACTTTACAAACAAGGAAAGAGAGGCCCTGCAAAGAACTTTGCCCAGAGTCTTATGGTTAAATTCATGGTTAAAAAGTGTGGAGTCTTGGCCAGGCGTGGTGGCTCATGCCTGTCATCCCAGCACTTTGGGAGGCCGAGGCAGGTGGATCACGTGAGGTCAGGAGTTTGAAACCAGCCTGGCCAACATGGTGAAACCCCGTTTCTACTAAAAATACAAAAATTATCTGGGTGTGGTGGCGGGTGCCTGTGATCCCAGCTACTCGGGAGGCTGAGGCACGAGAATCGCACGAACCCAGGAGGCAGAGGTTGCAGTGAGCTGAGATTGCACCACTGTACTCCAGCCTGGGCGACAGTGAGAGTCTGTCTCAACCCAGCTCCTGAAAACCAGCCCAGGGACAGCTGGCAGCAGACAGTGACCAGGTGGAACACACAAAAGCTATGCCAACCAGTTACGATAGAGGTGCCAATGTGTACGGGAATTCTCAAACTCTGATCTGGGCATGCTTGGGATCCTCGAGATCCTTTCGGGGGGTCTGAGAAGACAAAAGGATTTTCACAATAACACTAAGATGGCATCTGCCTTTTGCACTCTCATTTGCTCACAAGCATATGGTGGAGTTTCCCAGAACATCACTAGAGGCCTATTTGATTATATACTCTTGTTTGAAAATGTCTCAGTATTAACTTCTAACATGGTAAATATTGACAGATACATAAATCCAACAAACAAAAGCACTCTGGGGTCCTCAATAATTGTTAAGAGTATGAAGTCTTTAGATGAAAGAGTCTAGAACCGCTTGTCTAGGGCAGTGTCCATCAGTTACAGGCCGAGCCCTGTCTGCAACCCTCTGCCCATCCCTTCTCGCTCCCACTCCTTCCTCCATCCTGGGCCCAAGATGCTTTTATCTGACTGGGGAAGTTTGACTTGTGAGATGTCTGAGAATGCTGCGAACATCTTTCAGGATTTCTCACCCCACTGTCAGCCTAACTGGAAATGCTGTGCTAAGTGCTTTAGGATGTTCATCTTGTCACTTGAATTTCACAGCAACCATAGAATGCAGGCGTCATCTCATTGTATAGACAAGAAAACTGAGCCTCAGAGAGGTTAAGTCACCTGCCCAGTGTCACCCAGCTAAGAAGTGCCACAGTCATGATTTACATCGTGGTCTATCTTACTCCAAAGTCAAGGAGTCTCCTCCTGTGCCAAGAACAGGAAACAAAGCTGTGGGTTCAGGCCTCCTGGCAACAAGCAGCTAACAGAATAAATGGGGTGATAAAGAAAAATGAAAACCACTCACGCAACTTCCAGGCTGTCTTGGTGACCACAGGAGTGGCCATCCTTCAGCTGGCTGGCCACCTGAAGCCCCACCCACAAAATAAACTGTGCTTTCCTCGTGGGGTGGGGGTGGATCCCCCCCAGATCCACCAATCAAGTTGGCAGAGAGTTCCCACACATCCAGGCAGGGAGAATGCCTCGTCTTCTGGTTGTGGGCTGCCTCGTGGTTCCAAATCACCCACAGCAGCAAGAACAGCAGCCTGTGCACATCTGTCACAATCCTGGATCATGGGATGTTAGGCTTGAGCCATCTCAGCTCAGTACCGGGCTGCAATACAAACAGAGGTGATGTCATGTTAGAAAATGCTTGGTAAGAGCTATTGCTACCTGGATCACCAAGGCCACTTGATAAAGACTGGCACCCAAAGCCAAAGGGCCAGAACCAAATTGGGTTTGGGGATCTGCAGAGGGGGCACCTCAGGTAGGGTGATTTGGAACACAAGGAAAAAGAAACTCCTCCCAGAGGCCAGGATAATGAGATGCAGCTCTGTTCCGCGATGCTGGCTGCCTAAAGTGCAGCAGCCGCAGTGGGGCGGAGAAGACCACGTGTCTGCAATTCACATAGATTTCCCGGGAGTGGTTGTTTTTGTCTCACGTGTGGGATGTTGGGGAGTGGAGTCAGAAGCTAAGCTTATGGGCCTAGGAAAGGCATCCCAGAGACGGCCACTTTAGTCCTCCCTGGAAAGAATCTCGAAGACGACCCTGATGGCCCAACTCCCCAGCTCCTGGCAAGGGAACCGCTCCTGCTCCCTGAGATTCCCAAGGACAGAGCTAGGAACTAGGCCTCCGGTCTGGGTGTGAGTGGCTATGACTCCTCAACTCTGAAAGGCCACCTCATGGAGCCTCCCACCTCCTTCCCACAGCCACTTCACCTCTTTCCCATGAGCCCGCTCCCCTCCATCCCTTCTCCTGGGTCCCCGGGTCTGCCTCTCTAGTCCTTCGTTCACACCCCCTTTTCTCCCTGCCCCCTGAGTCTCCCACTCATGCACATCCTGCCTCCCGAGCTCCCTCACGTGGCCCCTGCCTCGCCAGACTCCCGTTACTGCCCTTTCCCATATGTTCCCGGGGTCTCCCATTCATTCATTCTCCTGCTTCTCTTCTCCCTATTCATTACCCGTCCTTCTGCAGACCCCCAGCTCTGCTTCCGGCCTCCCTGGTTTTGCCCCCTCCGGCCTCCACCCCGACCCCTCAGGTCCGGGGGCGGGGGCAGGTACCTCGGCCTCAGCTGATCCTCTCAACCCTCTGCTTGCGGAGTATGGGCTCTAGCCTCCCCACGCCCAGAGCTCTCTGCCCGCAAGCCCGGCCAGTCCCGCCTGGCTCGGCCCAGCCCAGGGCCCACCGTCCCCTCGCCACCTCGTCCCGTTGCCCACTCCACCTGCAGCTGCGGCTCCGGAGGCCGAGGCTCTGCTCCAGGCGCGACCCCCACTTGCCTCCATCCCCTGCCCTGATTGGCCGCTGCTTGACAACCGACCCTCACAACAAAACCTCCGGCTCAGAGCCCCGCCCACCTCGCCTCCCGCACCAATCAGCTGCCGCAGGCGCTCCGCCTCCTGCCAGGACTGACCAATGGAAGCAGGCGCTTCTGCCGCTTTTCCTAAGTACCCGCCCTCTTTTCCTAAATCGGGCTAATCAAGAGGAAGGAGCGTTGAAGAGCCGCCCCTTGGCCTCTGATAAGCCAATGCAAGCTGCCTTTTCCTTAGTCCCGCCTCCGTCTCAAGTTTCCCTTTCCTCTCCGTTTCCTTCCTCGAACCTAATTTGTGTCTGAAAACTTTTGAGAGCCGCCCTCCAATGGCGGCTGCGCCAATGGCTTGAGCAACCGTCCTGGATTGACCAATCAGAGCCCGCATTATTGGAAAACAATTACAAGATAGCCAATGGGAAGGAGACTTCTGGGGCGGTGTGAAGCCGCAGGCCTTCCATCTTGGAGTGGGGCAAAACCTAGGTAGGCCTTCGTGCCGAAGCTCCTCATTCTTCCCTTTGCCTGCAGATGGTACCCCGTGGCAGGAGGACTTTGTCCCTGTTCTTTGACCCGGACGCCGGCATGAATCCCCCACGGAAGGTCTAGAAGGAAACAGCCTGATTCCGGAGCCCAGGCAGGCGCTGAGCCCTGGAGCATTGCCCACGCAGCCACCGCCTCGGCTAATGGATGCGTGGGCAAGGCGCTGCTCCCTGAGGGGCCGCAATCAGGGAATCGGAGAAAGGCCGGCTTTATTTGTGACACGTTGGGCGGGGTGGGCTCAGGGAAGCGCCATAACCCTTCTCGACTCAGGGCCTCTCGCGTGGCCGCTTAGGAGGGACTCGGCCCCGCAGCCTCCTCTTCCTGTTGCCCAGAGGTTGGCCCGGGCACCCAGAGCTCCTCGAACCTCGCCATTCGGCCTCCAGCCTCTCACCTCAGATCAGGGCTCCTTGGGTTCACATAACGCTCACTACAACCCTAAGGGGTAGGAATTCCTGTTCCCATTTACAGATGAGGAAACTGAGTTCCGGGTTAAGATGCTTGCAAAAAACCACACGGTCAGAAAGTAATAGCCCCAGAATTCGAACCCTTGTTCTGAAAGCTGAAGCGTGGGGGAGTCCCCACTCTGCCTTCTGGGTTCAAACGATTCTCCTGGTTCAGCCTCCCGAGTAACTGGAACCACAGGCGCCCACCACTATGCCTGGCTAAGGCTAGTTTTTGTATTTTTAGTAGAGACGGGGTTTCTCCATGTTGGCCAGGCTGGTCTTGAACTCCTGACCTTAGGTGATACACCCGCCTCAGCCTCCCAAAGTGCTGGGATTACAGGTGTGAGTCACCACAAGGCACCTTTAAAAGATTAGAATAACATCGGATCAAAACTGTCTAGTCTGTAGTTCCTCTTAACTTTTGTATTATAAAAAAAACTAAATAGAGAAAACTTGAAAACACAGTATCATGATACCACGTAGATTCCAGCACTTGTTAACAGTTTGCCATATTTGCTTTGTCTGTGTGTCTTTTTCTGAACCATTTGAAAATTGTAGATACGACATTTCACCCCAACACCAAATACTGAGCATGTAGCTCTTAAAAATAAGGCCCTTGGCCAGGCGCGGTTGCTTGGACCAGGAAATCACTTGAACCTGGGAAGCAGAGGTTGCAGTGAGCCGAGATGGGGCCACTGTACTCCAGCCTGGGCAACAGACTGAGATCCATTTCAAAAAATAAAAATAAAGGCCGGGCGCGGTAGCTCACGCCTGTAATCCCAGCACTTTGGGAGCCCGAGGTGGGCAAATCACGAGGTCAAGAGATCAAGACCATTCTGGCTAACACTGTGAAACCCTGTCTCTACTAAAAATACAAAAAATTAGCCGGGCGTGGTGGCAGGCGCCTGTAGTCCCAGCTACTCAGGAGGCTGAGTCAGGAGAATGGTGTGAACCCAGGAGGCAGGCCTTGTAGTGAGCTGAGATCCTGCCACTGCACTCCAGTCTAGGCGACAGAGCGAGACTCCGTCTCAAAAAAATAAAATAAAAATAATGACCTTATTCTACATAACCATTGTATCACCACTGCTAAGAAAATTTAATTCTCTAACAACCAGTCCATTTTCACATGTCCCCAGTCATCCCAAAAACCTTTTATGACTTTTTGTTCTAACTAGGAACCAATCAGTATTCAGCACACTTGACTCTTTTAAGTTATTTCCATTTCTGTCCCCAACTTTTTATTTGTATGACATCGATCTTTTGAAGAGATCAGGCCATTTACCTAGTAGATTGTCCCACGTTAGGAATGTTTCCTTTTAGTGTCATTTACCTGAATTTCCTGAAGTTCTTGTTCGATGGAAGTTCTTCTTAAATGCATTTCTTCCCTTGAATTTCTTAAGTTAGGGCTAAAGGCTTGATTAGATTCATGACAACAAGCACTTAAAAACACTCCAGAGGACACATTGTAAGTGTACAAGGTTGATGAATTTTTACAAACTGAACACATCCAGGTCAAAAAGCAGAACATGACCAGAAACCAGAATCCCCTCCCAGGGCTCCATGCTCACATCTATTCACTAACCCTCACACTCCAAGAGTGATGGTTGTCCTGACTTCTAATATCACCAATTAATTTTGCTTATTTTTGTTCTTTACATAAATGGAATCATTCAGTATGTACTTTTGTGTCTTGAATCTTTTGACATTATACTTAGGCAGTTGGACCATATCATTCCATATAGTTGTGTTGCAAGTTCATTCATTTTCATTGCTCTATGATACGGTTTGGCTGTGTCCCCACCCAAATCTCATCTTGTTAATTGTAGCTCCCATAATTCCCACATATGGGAGGAACCCAGTGGAAGATAATTGAATCATGGAAGCGGTTTCCCCTGTACTGTTCTCATGGTAGTGAATTAGTCTCATGAGATCTGATAATTTTATAAGGGATTTTCCCTTTAGCTTGGTTCTCGTTCTCTCATCTGCCACCATGTAAGAAGTGCCTTTCGCCTTCTGCCATGATTGTGAGGGCTCCCCAGCCATGCGGAACTGTGAGTCCATTAAACCTCTTTTTCTTTACAAATTACCCAGTCTTGAGTATGTCTTTACCAGCAGTGTGAAAACAGACTAATACACTCTATAACCTCAATATTATTGGCATTTGGAGCTAGATCATTATTTGCTGTGGGGAGCTGTTCTGGGCATTGTAGAATGTTTAGCAGCACCCCTGGCCTGTATGCACTAGATGCCAGTAGCATTCTTCCTAAGCAGTTAAACACAACCCAAAATATCTGAAGACCACAATTTATGTATCCATTCTGCTCTTGATGGACATTTGGGTAACTTCCAAGTATGGTGCTATTATCAATAATGCTGCTATGAACATTCTAGCACATGCCTTTAGGCAGATAGCTATCTATCTACATTTCTGTTGAGTTGTTCATCATTCTTACTTGATGAATGATGGATTGGAGTAGAATCTAAGGGTAGAATTGTTGGGCTTTAGTTTAGCTTTAATAGATAATGCCAAGCAGTTTTCCAAAATGGTTGTACTGATTTATACTTTCACTACGAAGGTTATTTGGGAGTTCCAGTTGTTTCTCATTATCACCAGTACTTTTTATTTTTTTCACACCGGAGGGTGTTGTGACATTTCATTTCCCAGATGACTCATGAATTTGACAACCATTTCATGTGTATTTTGGCTATTTTTTAAGCTAATATTTAATGACTGCTTTCTATATGCCATTCCCAGCCTCCCTGCTTTATGTCTTTTCTTTTTTTTTGAGACAGGATTTTAATCTGTTGCTCAGGCTGAAGTGCAGTGGTGCAATCATGGCTCACTGCAGCCTTGACTTCGTAGGTGAAAGTGATCTTCCTACCTCACCCTCCTGAGTAGCTGGGACTACAGACTCATGCCACCATGCCTGGCTCTTTTTTTTAAGAGATGGGGTCTTTCTTACTATGTTGCCCAGGCTGGTCTCAAACTCCCGGGCTCAAGCGATCCTCCTGCCTCAGCCTCCCTAAATGTTGGGATTACAGGTGTGAGCCCCACACCTGGCCATAAGTCTTATTTAATGCAACAATGCTACCCCATTCTACAGATTGGTAAGTGGTATCTGGTAAGAAGAGGATCTGGGATTCAGCCCTCAAATCCTGGGGCATGCATCTTAGCTTTCCCCATCCCACCTGGTGAGGTGGGCCACCCTAGTCACACTGAGATCTAACCAGTTGTTTGCAGATGGCTGCAGGACCATCTGCAGAGGTGCTGTGAAGACCTGACATTCCAATGGAGAGAAGGACAGGAAGTAAATGACAGGCCAAGGGGAGGAAGCAGGTGGTCCCAGGCTATAGATAACGGAAGAAGAGAAAGCCTGCTGCTGGAGCTTGTGAAGTGTGAGGCACAAATGGCCAATTAAGAGTGTGTCTATTTACAGGAAAACCAAGAGAAGCAGGAACAAACAGGGCTGTAGGAAAGGTGGGCTGGCAGTGAGGCCAGGTGTCTGTGTAAACAGGCATTGGCTGGGTAGAGGGAACACAGGAGCCAGGCTCCAGGGAAGAGGTTTCCTTTCTCTGGCAGTTCTGGCTGAGGCCCCAGGAGAGACATTAAGCGAATATTTTCTGGAGCTCCCCCAGGCGTGGGTCCTTGTAGAGCTTTTCCTCCAGAGCCAGGTACTTCAGTGGGGCCAGTTCCTTGTGTCTGAAGTCAGAGGGGCAAGAAAAGAGGGTGAGGGGTAACAAAGCTGGCAGTCCAGCCTCCCACTGGGCTCTCTCTGCCTGCCCTGCCTGCTCACCGATTGAGGCGCTGCTCCAGGATGCGAATGCGGAACATGGCCTGAGAGCAGTAACTCAGGTACAGGTCTTCATCCTCAGGTGTCAGCGTCACCTGGTTCTCCTGGTACCACTGCTGCTTCTTTTGCAGCTCCTGGGTCTCCTGTGGTCATAGGGAGGACAGAGAAGGGGGGCTGACAAGGCTGACCTTCACCCAGGCTGCAGGCTGCAATCCCATTGGTCACTAGACAGCCCCATGACAGTTGGCCCCACTATCCCCACCCACACAAGCCACCTATCCATAGCTGCCACAGAGGCAGGGACCACAAAATATCTTGGGTGGGAGCCAGTGAGGTCATGTTTATAGGGATGTCATGTCTATGAGGTCAGAGCAGGGGTCAAGACTGAGAGAGCCATGTAGCTCTGGACAAGTTACTGGCATTTTCAGAACCTGCAATTTCTTGTCTACAAAATGAGGGTCATTGTACTACCCCCTCCCCTTGTAGAGCTCCTTGTGAAGATTAAGTGACATAGTCTTAGTAGTGCATGGGAACTACATGGTGTGTGCCTGACCAACAAAAATGGGTCAAGGACTAGGAGTTGTTATAATGTACCATCTCTCTGTCTACCCAGCCATCTGCCCATCTATTCCTCTGCCCATCCCTCCACTCATCCCTGCCCATCCATCCATCCATCCGTCCGTCCGTCCGTCCACTCATCCATCCAACTGCCCATCTATCCACTCGCCCATCCATCCATCCACTCATCCATCCACCCACCCACTCACTCAC